GTAGGCTTGGGACAGGAACCAGCTAATGTCTCTTTAAGAGTACAGTCCATACTTCTTAAAGTATTTTAAATGCCACGGGAACAAGATAAAATCTGGAGTTAGATACACAATAAGATTAACATAGGATCCGATCAATACCCACTCCCATAGTCTATTGGATGTGTTTCTAGGTTAACTTGCATTTTCCTCCCAATTTAAATATCTTACAAACAAAATGCAACCTTCAGAAATATGCAGTTCAACTTCTGGATTGTCAGCAACATTCAACAAGGAATCTACAGCAAACCAAGAGGTTGGCACCTTTAATGTTAAGAGGATACTTGTATCATCTATTCTTCCTACCAGTGCAGGAGTTGACAGGAAGGAAGGAAGGAAGGAGGTGAAACTACTTTTGATAATAAGCTCGTGTATATAATTATGACAAAGCAGAGTTTTAGAAAAGACGGTTTCACACCAAGTCTCCACTATTTTGACAAAAAGACTTCGTAGCAATATTGTTGGAGTCACATGTAAAATGTATGACAGGAGCCTTTCAATATAATTTACAACATGAATTCTTATGAGTTTGGAAAATGTTGGAATCAGGTCAAGTAAAACTAATTTGTTGCAAAAATGATCAAATAAATTGTACACAAATTAAAAAAAAGAAATAATATCACTGAATGTTTTCATGATCAACTTGAAAAGTAAGAACTTTATATGGCAGGATTTTCAAATCAAAATGGAGTTTTGAAAAAACATTTATTTCGGCCATATGATAAATTTCAAATTATTTAAGTTAACTCATGTCTCAATTCCACATGTCACTCAAACAATAACATGTTTCAAGAGTTTGTGTCAAATTGCAGTTAATTCTTGATAAACGTATGACAGAAGCACATATAAACTTAATTTGTCTTTCAAGCAAGGAGTAAATATTCTTACTGAAACAATCCAATTGACTTAGCACCAAACCAAACTTACATACAATTTCAATTTTTTGACAAATACCTTTGTTAAAGTGAGAGTTGACATCCTGTCAAGAACTAACTGCAAAATGAACACAATTCTTAAAGCTAGGAGAAAAACTTCAAAACAGAGTATTATCAACAAGTCAACGCGACTTTTTGTAAAACTTGCTACATTCTAGACAGAGCACCCACCAGCTCTCCCAAACATGGGAGGGCATATGGAACAGACAGTGTCTTGCACAAGTTCCACTGAACAAAACAGTTCCTCACAAGCTTCTCACTATACTGGCCTTGTGCTAGAGAAATGCAGCTTTTCACTTACATTAAGCCACTGGTGCGGGGATTTGTTCCACTAATAACAGCCTACTAAATTTCAAAATATTTTCTGGTAAAAATAATGCTACCAAAAAACTGGACTTTTTAACCCATTTTGCTACAACTTATAAATTTCCACAAAATATGACCTAAATGTAACCCAAATATGCTGGGGCAAAAGGTCTGCTTTTGGGACAAGTTAAAAATGCAGCATTGATGAACTCCATGTGCACCTTGCACACAGTGCATACAGGACCACAATGGTGAGTTCACAACCAAAATTCCTAAGTTTGTTCTCCAGAAAACATAACTTTCTATTACCGATGCTATTAATTCTATAAAATACTTGTCCAAATTTAATTTAACACATATGTAAAAGAATTTGAAGGCACTGAGATAAGTTACTCCAGCCAAAGTTTGGACACTGGTACCCAGTGGATGGAAACCAATATTTGCGCTGTTTCCTCAAATTGTTCAAGCCTGTGAGGATGGTAATTGTGCAAGACTCATCTGTGAAAGAAACAGTACAGGTTGTTAAGATTGATCAATGACGTGAATGTACATGAAGGGGTGCAGATGGGTACTCAAGAACATCGTCGCGTAATTCTTACAAAAATAACCATAACTGGTGTCCAGTTTTTTTTAGCAAAACAATTATTTCAGTTTTCTTCTTGGATATAAGTGACAAAAGGAGCGAGATGACTCCCATGTGGGTCCTCGTGAGTATATGACTGCTGTGACAAACAACTCTATACATACATATCTACGTGTTGTAGATTCACCTCAAGTCCCGTTGACGGCCGTACGGTGTTATCAGAGTGGTTGTCATCATCGTGTTTCACGACAAACGTCCCCACCCTTCCCGATGAGTTATCATATAAAATACGCTATCAAATATCATATGGCGTGTTATGTATAACATGGTTAATATTGACACAAGTGGGCGATACCATAATGTTGAGTATGACGGATGATTCTATGAAAATGTATACAATATTCAATATCATGATGGCGATAGATACTATACACACAATGACTATAGACAGACGATGGATGATGATGATGATGATGATGATACTAATACAATGTGGATATGCTCTATGAGAAATAAATATGATCACAGGCAGGAGTAACCAAATATTCCTGTTTCTACAATAGACTATATACAGTTAGACTTTGGCATGCATGTATTGTCTCACTAAGTAGATCCTTTTTATTTACATATCGTACAAAAATCTAATAACCATGTTTAACAGACGAGACCAAGCCTCGTCATGTAGATCTTCCGTTAATGAGTTTTCTGGAATAAAATCAACGAACACAATGTTCCTATTGCATGGTTTGTGCAGCACAAACACCACACACGTTCAAGCATACGATTGTTATATATCTACAAAATATGTAACATACACATTTTGTACTATTCCATATATACTATTCAACATTTCATAGGGATATTTCAAATGTCAAGGTAGAGGCTAAATCTGAATTTTTTGGTGTTTGGAGATGATGTACAAATTGGATGCAATTTGAGTGAGTGTAGGGTTACGCCACTTTTAGCAATATTCCAGCAATATCATGGAGGAGGACACCAGAAATGGGCTTCACACATTGTACCCATGTGGGGAAGCAAACCCGGGTCTTCGGCGTGACGAGCGAACACTTTAATTACTAAGCTACCACCGCCCCTGGATGCAATTTGAACTGGATCTAACACGTTTAGATTTGTTTCATAATATCCAATGTATAAATTGAATTGTTGTCTCCCGGCTTTCACAAGCTTTGAAACGAAGCTCAATATATGTTGGTTCCATGCCTAATTGACATCCTACTTGCATGTGAAGATCTCCATACATCTGGTCAGACTTCTCCCCTCCCTGGACACTGAGCATCCCTACCAAAAGTTGAGTAGGATAACATATTAAGAGTCACTGATGCTGTACAGATACTGCCAGCAAGCTTTCACGTCACTGGTAAAATGTAAAAACTGCGATATCACAAGTTATCACATGCACATATATCGTCATCACCAAATATGGACGCAGATTTCAGTATTGCCATAGTAACACCAGCATTCATATTCACAGTGTTTATAATCAACATTCTAAAAACACCTTTGACAAAGAACCCTTACAACTCAACCCAGGAACAGAAAGTTTCAGAAGTTACTACAAAAATGCTGGTAATCGAAAACAGGTTAAAAATTTAAAAACCTCTGTATCCATGGCACCAGAATATTGGAGGAAATTATTCTATTGTTTCCCACATGAAGTTCATCCACAAACAGAAACTTAGTTTCTGTCAAGATCCTCAAAGCATCTTTAGTTCAACAGTAATTACCTGGCTGAGGCATTGTACGAAAAAATAAGAAATGTTTCTTTTCCAGAATCATTGGCAAGAACATTTTACAAATTCATTGCCTGAAAGTATCAGTTGAAAAAGGAAAGCTGAAATGTAATAAAAAGTGGTCGTCATGAAAAGTAAAATGAGTTACCTCCCTTTGCCTAATGCCCTTCTTTGAAGTTTTGTCCATAATAAAACTTGGTTAAAAACTGGCGCTTAAAAATTACAATTTTCTAAAATTTATTAAGGCCACATTTGAAAATTTGGTGGGTAGGCAGATCCATACACCAAATAAATTAATTTAAAATGCCTTAGATTCATAATATCATGTTCTGAGAGGACAGCCATATTGTACGAAGTCAAGCCAACATCGATTCCAAGATGGAACAATGCCACTGCACACATACCATTCCCAGTGTCCTGTCAGTCCTATTACTAAGTAACCATGGCAACCTGGGCTTCAGTTCAACTTGCTACTGAGACAATTACGATTACAACCACTGAAGCTTCAGAGTGCTGACTTATAACAGGTACGGAAAGCTACAATATTATTAACTCGAACTAAATTGCACGATTTAACTGAGACATTCATTTATATATGAATATTCATAAACCAAAATTCACCGCAACAAATTCACTTTTATAGGAGAAAGACAACTGCAAACTTAGTTTTTGCGTAATCAACAATCTTTCCTTCGAAAGAACTGAATATAGTATACATATAGCCAATATATATACCTTCAGGGAAATACTGAATACAATCTTTTGATGTCAACCACTGTCAGTTAAGACGTGTATCCTGAAGCAGTATCTAGTCATCAATACCAGTTCATCGTTTCCACGACAACAGTTCTTCATTCTTTCTGCAAGTGGTATCATATAAAATTTAATGAGAATACAAAATTTAGAAAATACTTTTTGAGCTTCATTTTCACATCCAGTAGTAATACTGAAAAAATATTCTGATAATGTTCTAGCCCTTCGAATGATGAACTGGTTGTATAATGCTGATCATGAAAATGAAACACAACCACTCACCTAAAAACAAATTGGAAGGCTTGTCTCCATTTCAACTTGATTTTTTGGAAGAAATTTAGAGGTATATTTCTTTCTGTTCAATACTGACATGACAAGGCATTCATGTATTATAAAAAATAAGCGTGAAAAACGAAGTAAAATTATCGAAAATGATTTAGATTGTAAACTTTCCATGAAAATTAGTTGCCAACATTTCCTCAGATCATGTAAGTACTGCTAATCACATGACTACCAAATATGGTACTTCTGATCACATGACTACCAAATATGGTACTGTTGATCATATGAGTATCAAACATGGCCATATGGCCACATGGCATTTGTCTTCAAAGATCATGTCACCAACACGATCTTCATAGCTGTGATTTTCTCTTTTCCACTTAGCTGTTACGTGGTCACATTCTTGTTCCGTGACTTCCACAAGCTTTACCTCACCATCAGTACAACCATTGGTGTGAACAGCAAAACTGTGCCTGTGTTCTGTCCAACCAGTTCACGGATGCCAGGCAGCTCGTAAATGTCTCTCAGTGCTGACGACTTCCTCAGGTGCAGGTAATTCAACTTATGACTTCTTTCACAAATGGACATTTGGTAAAGCAATCAGACTTCTTCTCCAACTCTGTCATCGTTGAGGAATTCCTCCAGTCTGTCGTCCGTTGTGGCTGTTTCACAGGGTATGACAGGCACCTTCATGTTGACTGTTGTGAAAAACGCCATCTTTTCTCTGCAAGAAATCAACATAAATATTCAAGGTTTCCCTGGCAATATGTTTATAACATGTTTCACTGTCCTATCACTTTCATTTCTTCTAATATTTGATACTAACGGCATCAGAATATTCAAACTCAAATCAAAGTGTGCTCATCTGAAACTTGACATGCATATGCAACAGTACTGTCAATACAAGCAGTTTGATGACGGAGGAAACCTCTAGCAAAAGAGTGATTATGGTTTTACGTCGCTTGTAGCAATATTGTGGCAGGGGACACAAAAAATGGGCTTCACATATTGTACCCATATGGGGAATCAAACCCGGGTTCTCGGTGTAACGAGCGGACGCTTTAACCACTAAACTAACCAACAGCCCCTCCAGCAAATAAAGAGTTAGATACTCAACAATTCAGTGAAACCCACAAGCAGATGCACATAGCTGACACTAGCAGTATTACCAGATCAAACCTAAACCCAGGACCATTAGTTTCTGGCCGCCACATCTGCACTTCAAACTCCAATGTTTTAGACTCTGCCACCCCTGCCGTTCAAGAAACGTCCACTGAAATCAAGTGCTCGTCCCAAACTGGGACAACAACCAACAAGATGTATTCTAATCAACATGTCTTTGCTATAACGTGCAACTCTAGATCTAGGCAGGGGTGGAAGGCATGCTTTCATCTTCATGTACATTCTTGAAGACACATTTCACTTGCTATCTCTCTAATGGTTTCTGAACAGGAGCAACCTTGTGTCACATGTAGTAGAATACTGATTTGTTTTTGGACATATGTCCAGGTGTAAAAAGGGCTTTCACTACCTTAGACCCCCAAAAGAAATGACCATGTAACTCGCTGATCAGTTTTACCTGAAGTTGATGGCATTACACTGCTGACTTCCTCTACGCATGCGTTGTACATCTCTTGTGACCTTCTTCATGAGCTGCTGGGCACGACGATCTTGCTTAGACACATTCTTTGACGTCTTCTTTTGACTCTGCAAAAGAAGTAAAGGATTAGCTTTAACTGAAGAATATCCATCCTTGAGCCATTCATTAGCACCTGCATCATCTTAGGAGAGGAGTACAAGAGTTGGCTCCCTTCAATACAGGTCACTTAACATCATTGCAGGAAATCATTGGAATGTCTTAATTACAATCAATTTGGCATATTAATTGTGAGTCCGATTAAGATAAATTCACAGCGGTTCACGAATCGCAGTTTACCCACACTACGCCTTTTGGTTTCTGTAAACCAGAAATTCAAAATGGCTAGTTTTAGGAAACCATGACTGACTGACTGAGTTTGGTTTTACGCCGCTTTTAGCAATATTCCAGCAACATCACGGCAGGGGACACCAGAAATGGGCTTCACACATTGTACCCATGCGAGGATTCGAACCCGGGTCTTCGGCGTGACGAGCCAACGCTTTAACCACTAGAATACCCCACCGCCCCAGGAAACCATGAATACCATTTCACTTATATCACAGCTATATGAAGGAGAAATATCACTGTGTTCATTCAGTATTGTAAAACTCATAAAACAGGTATTGTGCAGACAAATGGACCAAACTAAAGTCATTTTAAACTTAGGAGCCAGCAGATCCAGGGTGTTAAGGATCACGGACACACCGGATCACAAAATATCAGCCGCCATTTAAATAAATTAACTTAACAAAACACCTTACAGACAGATTACAATTATACTAGATAAATATTACAACTAATACCTAGCTTTTAATATACTGATACATATATATAAATACAACAGCAACATTAAAATATATTATTCAGAATTATACATAATTATACACATATATATATATATTCGGAAATAATTCATATTTAACAACAATTGTTTAGACTGTGACGAACAGTACACAGTTTTCATACCATGCATGGACCATGCTATCTGTCATGTCAGTCAGTATATGTATGACACACATTCCCGCAGTGTTTACAAACAAACAGCATACATTACTTGAAAGGTCGTTCACGTCAACATTCTGTGGAGTACAATGATCGGGTCATAATCCGGCATGCCAAACATCTCAACTATTCCCCTCAGGCCCAGATTAGTGTTAATAGGCCATACATATTGTTCATAGCAATAACTAGGTCACTGCAAGCAAATTCCACATGTTGATGTACACTTTGATGGGTAATGCATTTCACTGAAGTTTAGTCTACAAGTTGTCCAACTCCAAAACATCTTCATTATAAAACTATTAGATACCTGCTTCAAACCATTAAAACTAGTTCAAAGATAACACAAATAGCTTTCAAGAAGAATATACATGCTCCAGGGCTATTAGTGTGCTGTACTGACTCTAGAACATGTATTAACCTTGAGGCAGTATGATGGGGCATGTTAAAGATCAAAGTCATGCTTGGTGTGAATCAATCATGCACTGACATCAATCTTGACAGCTCAATACTATGCGCTTATGAATGAATGACCTACTTGCTGACATGGTTGTCAATAGCAACATGACCTAAATCTTTGCCATTCAAATTCCACAGATATAAAACTCACATAACAACTGCATATGACGAATACATTAACATTCACACTTGGAGTCAAGGGAGGTAACTCACTTCAACTGACTGGCAACTGATCCCAACTACGAGCCTGGTTGGATGCAATCTTCTAAGCCCAAATGATTATTGCGAAAATATAAACTTTTAGAACCATGTGGTCTTGTTTACTGTTACATGTAACTGAGTCGAGCTCCAGTTTCCTAGTGACAGGCTGATCCCTAGCTACAATTGCTGTAAGTATATGTTAAAGTGTGGCAGTTATGCTTGCCACATCTTTATCGGCCCTGGAAATGCTACAGACTTGTAGCTCACTACATGAACAAGTTAGTAATGTAACAGATGACAAGTTTAATGTGGATGTGTGCCCCTATATAATGGTATGAGTTAATCTGGGGTTCAAAAGCATGATCAGATCCTGTAACAACCAAGGGCCATAACTTCAGTGATATGCTACAATAACTGGAAGACCCATAGAAAAACAATGATGAGAATCAAACCTGGGACAAATACATTCCATGCAAGACAGACTACCCTTTAGGCTAACTATTAGTACAACCACCTGACTACCATCCTAGCCCTGACTCTCATATTCACATCCAACCACCTGACTCCAATCCTACCCCCAGTCTAAGTAAACTTAGGCTCAGTATTATTCACTGGTATATACTGAGTCTAACAAACCCTAGTAGAAGGTCGTGTCAGATAACCTTTGTGCAACCTATGACCATCCAATCAAACGGGAGACAGCCGAATGGAATTAACCAATCAGAAAATGGCTACTATTTAGGCTTAAGTGTGACATGCAAATGAAACAAGATGCAATTGACAGTGTGCTCGCTTTGGTGTTTTTGATGACATGGTTACTATTAGGTTATATTTCCGCAAGGTGACGTCCTTTAATAAAAGACAAAATGCAATTTTCAGCAAGAGTTTACTCACTGATGTGAACAATAGAGCCCAACATGTGTATCACTCGGAAGCGATCGTGTTGAAATTATAGTATTTGGAATCGTTTGATTACACACATTTTCAAGGTAAAAATTCAAACGGTGTGTGCGAATGTTAACTTTCACGATTTGGTAAGCTGTGGTCTGATTGGTCAATTCAAAAGGTTAGCTGACGCGATCTTCTACTAGGGTTTGTTAGATTCAGTATAGCAGTGTAGTATAGATTATAAGAAAACATGATCGATTGCTTGGTCGTTTAGTCACTGCGACCAATCTTCGATTATTTCAATTAATCGGACCACCACTACAACACAGCACTACTCCTTTCAACATGACCTATACTTTGTTATAATACTGTCAATAACCTATCAATCCTCTACATATTTCATGTTCACTAATAAAACCAAGTGTTCTTGTATCGTTGTACATAATCTGACATAAAATATTCATGCCTGCAAACAGAAACCAAATGCTATCTCCAGAACTATCAGTCTCACTGCCTGATGAGAGGCAAAACAATAGCATCCTCGAACACACATGCAGTAAAAGTAGTACTTCTGTCTGACACAAAGCAAGGCTAATTTGTATAAGACAAATATTCAGCTAATATTCAGCATACTGTATAGTGTCTATAAAGATGCAAGAGTCATGATACATCACATTATACACACTCACAACCAACACATAACCAAGATAATCTAAGAAACGGTTTACCCTATTTTTATGCAAGATGATTCTGAAATTCATATGCAAATTCTCATTTTCATGCAAACAATATGTTCAAGACACGAAGTTAATGTGTTATTAAAGATGAATGAAGGGGCTTCTAACTGAAAATACATCAACGTTTTCATTAGTTTGTTAGATTTTTAATGCTGCAGTCAGCAATATTCCAGCTTTCACAGCAGCCTGGACCAGACAATCAAGTGATTGACATTGTGAGCATCAACACATGCCACTGGTGAGGTGAGGTGAAATTGGATTTAACGTCGTGCTTGAGAATATTTCGCTCATATATGACGGCGTGCGTGTGTATGTGTATGTGTGCCTGCTTGTACTAGTACTAGACTGAAGCTGGTTTTATAGTGCTAGCCCACTGAGATACCATGCCACAGTGAAGCATGAACACCCCACTCAAACACATTATACTGATTCTGAGCCGACCAGTCCTTGTTGTACCCATTAATGCCGAGCGCCAGGCAGGGACCAACAAGTACCATATTATAACGTCTTTGGTATGACGCGGTCGGTGATCGAACCCGCGACCTTCCGCTCTCCGGGCGGACGCTCTAACCACTACACCACGGAGGCGGTCATACGCCAATGAAGTACAATGACACGGAATCTACCAAGTCACAGAGTCTGACCAATCTGGTTCCCTATTATGACCAGCATCAGATGCTAGGGACCAATTAAAACCCAGAATCTTCACTGGGTTTTCTTTACTGGTTCCTGTACAACTAAATACAAGATGACATGACACTCCCACCAGTGTCCTTCAAGTTTGATCTCAGATTATTCGAATGAAGACAAACTGACACATCTGACCCAGAAAGTTGGGAATAATGACAAGCTCAGAACAGATGCTGAGGGAGTCGGAGAATTATTTTCACAAAACATGTAACAGTGAGAACTGAATCAGATAGAGAACATGATCTGCAGACTCCGGCACAGGACAAGAATCAGAAGCAGAGCAGGTTGTAGCTGTAAAGACTGAGGGACATCCTGGCACATCAAGGTCTGGTGAGATTCAAGTGAATAGCTGGCAGTAGGGTTCCTGCTTGTAAGATTCAAGGTCAGTGAGTGAGTATGGTTTTATGCCGCTTTTAGCAATATTCCAGCAATATCATGGCGGGCACATCAGAAATGTGCTTCACACTTTGTGCCCATGTGTGAATCAAACCCGGCCTTCAGCGTGATGAGCGAACGCTTTAACCACTAGGCTACCCCACAGCCTCTATTCAAGGTCAGAACAGAATCGAAATCAGGTGTGAGTGGTGAGGAAGTTGGTTAATAGACTTTATCATGACAGTGAAAGCTGCTGCTTGCCAGTCAGCAATATTCCAGCTATGTCATTAATGATGAGAGACAGAGTTCTACATAAAGAGCCCCAAGATGACCTCAAGGAGGATGTTCTTCTGAACAAGGGGTGCATTTATGACAAAGTTGAGCATTGTTAGAAGATATGGGCTTGACTGTCTATAGATACAAAGGAGATCATAAACAGGCAAAACGGAGCATTGAAAATGTCAACATATGCATACCTACACTATACACTACATGTATACCAAAAACTGCAACAGACTTTAATAACCTGCTTAATGGAACACCATACAAAGAAGACAATATTTAACTTGCCAAACTGGAAACAACTACAAGTGATACAAACCCACAACACACCTTGTGCATTGTGGTGTTTCTGTAAATGTAAATTACCGTTTTAATTAAATTAGCCAACATTGACAAGATTATGAAGAAATATTTTTTTGGGTACAAAGACAACTTCTTTAACAATTTTGATATTTCATGTCAATGTCAAATGGGTCAATGACAATATGTTGCTATTTTCTACTCTAAGGAAAAAGTTGTTGCATTTTCTGCAAAACTGTGTTCTCAGTACTCCCATTTTCAAGCTTTTGTAGAGTTCAGCTGATCCAATACTTACTACACAAGCTAGTCTTCTTGTCACTATATGTTTCAGTTAAACAAACACATGCTATATGAGAGGGCAGGGGTTAAACTGGGGTTAGACTATGCATTAGCATCATGCTATCATGCTGATTGGTCAACTGACAGCAGGATTAAACCAATCAAAATCTTACATGATGTCGTAGAATTCCCAGTTTCTGTAATGAACATAGCATAATGAGGAAGGAGTCTATGGAAGTTTATTCAGGAGGTAACAGAAGAAGACATTGAGACGTCAAAAAACTTGTCTTGGGGAAGACAGTTCCCTAAACTGTTTCGCACACTCTGCTGAAGAAAGTAACGACTCGGCATTACTCAGCAGCCAATCATGTGACTGGACTTGTAAATTATAAATCTATGATCCTACAACTTTGATATTGAGGAGTATGACAATAAGTCTTCATACATAAGAGTGACAATATTGTTAGATGTGTCCAGTCTCCAAATGATGACAAAAAATGCAAATTGTTGAATGAAAGGCTTAAGATGTGACATATGATCAGATCCTGCCTTCCAGATGAAATAAACGCTGAGGGAGTGTGGACACGACCCAACTGCTCAAAGTCAATTTAACTTTAAATTAAGACAGTCACTAAGATTGCTTTGTGCATGTGGGCAAACAGTTATGGAATGAGAGTGACCACTACTTTAGTCAAGGCATGTAAGCGTGATGAACAATGAATCCCAAAGTAATGGAGGTCTGAGACATTCACCACTTCCATGAAACAAATGAGCTGGTGCGATTCCAACGCATCCAGAGACATGATCAGGGTGATTCTGTGATTCACCATGGTTTCGGATACCACAGAATCACCTTTGCAGAGCATTACATAGGTGCCTTACATGACTGGACCAACCGTGGCCCCAGTGAACAATGGAGCTTCATCTCCAGTTTTACCCTTAATCTCCATGGGACAAGTCAACGGGGTACTGATGATCTACTGTGATCTATGATCTCCAGCAGGACCACCAAACCAAAAACATACTATTGACAAGCCTTGCTCTGGCAAGTCTTTGGATACTCTAAGGTATGTCAAATTGTAAAGGTGACTCTCAACTGCCTAAATTGTTGTCATACTTCTTATCAGTCACTTGTTTGAACTCACCAACTTCTCAGCATCAGACAGCAGCTTCTGCAGCTGGTCATCGTCAGACAACCAATTGGGCAGCTCTGTGGCTCCTGGAGGAGAAAGTGCATTCAGGTTAAAGGCACACTGCAGATAAATCATGATTTTAGGGCATAACATAGTGTCTCAGCAAATCAATAAATCTTCAAATCCTTGCTGGTATCCCTGTTTAATCAGCCTGTAAATAATCAACTCTGGGATGGGTAAACTAGTGGTTGATAGCATGAGTGAATGGTAGAGTGAGTGAGTGAGTTTGATTTTACGCCGCTTTTAGCAATATTCCAGCAATATCACGGCGGGGACACCAGAAATGGCTTAACATATTTTGCCCATGGGAAGGAACGTGGGTACAGATTCCATCAAATACCTTTTGACTTGGCCTCCTCCATAAGTCGCTTCAGTTCTTTTAAGCGTGTGATTTCATCGTTGAGGTGTGACAGCTTGACGTGGGAGGCCTGCAGGTCCAGCTCCAGGTCCAAGGACGTCCTTGGGTTCAGGTGGGCGGAGGACGAGGACGACTGAAACATCGTGAGGAGGTGCAGAATAAAAAATGCCAACCAGTTTGTTTTATCAAGGAAAACAATAAAGCATCCGTAATATTGGATGAATATGATCAACAGTATATTCCAGCCCAAGAACATATAGAAACAAGTTTAGAAGTGAGCACAGTTCGATGACATACCCCTACAATTTCCTCACTTTGGGACATGGAAATAGTTGACTATGATGATGTGAGTGTGGCCAGGTAACCATTCAAACACATTTTGCACAGTGGTTTACCAAGTCATGTTTCCATGGAAACAATAAACAAAACAATTTCTGTAAAACTTTAAAATAGCAAAAGGCAAACATCAATGGGTAATGATTAACATGTGTGTGAAGTTTGGTGAACCTAGCATGTAAACTTTAAGTTGATATATCCGACAAAGTTTGGAAGGAGGTATTGACGGACAGAATGAAGAAAGCAGCACTATATAATTTCAGGCTAAGTTACTTTATAGCGGGGTATAATTACCTCAGCAGAATAGTTATAGTGAAGATTCAACAACAGTCATGACTTACAAGTACACATTAGAAAACTCATTTGATGGGAATGGAATCAAAATGCTATGACCATGAAAGGAGTGAGTGAGTGAGTTTAGTTTTACACCGCACTCAGCAATATTCCAGCTGTATGGCGGTGGTCACCATGAATGGAAGTATTCAAATCAATGATAAATAGTATCATAGCAAAGTGGTATCACAATAATACACAATAATAAGTACATTAACAAAGACTATAAATGGATGATCATAGCATTGATCTTTTAGATGGGGAACAAACCCGTGAAGGTCCGGGTTAGAATGAGTCTTCAGTAACCCATGCTTGTCGTAAGAGGCGACTAACGGGATCGGGTGGTCAGGCTCGCTGGCTTGGTTGACACATGTTATCGGTTCCCAATTGTGCAGATCGATGCTCATGATGTTGATCACTGGATTGTCTGGTCCAGACTCGATTATTTACAGCCCACCGCCATATAGCTGGAATATTGCTGAGTGTGGGGTAAAACTAAACTCACTCACTTACTTAGATGGGGAACAAGGTTTTCAGTGTGACAAGCCAATGCCTTAACCACTTGGATACTCCTACTCAGTTCTATAAATAATTTCCACTGGTAATACTTTATAATGGATATATGGGCAAGATTTTGGACACAGAAAGGTTGAATTGTGTCAAAATGTTGTCTATCATACCTTGCCTTTCCATCGAAGACTTCTTCTCTCCAATGCATTTCTCTGGAATGGCCCTCGTTTGTACAGTGGCATAGAACTATCACTGTCACTACGATTGAGCTGAAAAACAAGAAATTGATTTTCACATTAACAAATCTTTGCATGAAAAGGAAAATCACCCCATTTCATTGAACAGAAATTAATTAAATACATTCTCATGAAGAAGTTTTCACCCATAATTAATCCATTCATCAAAAACTCCTTTACAAACAGCACAGCAAGGGGAGACAACTCTTGTCCTACGTTTTCCACAGTTACGCACCTTGCACACATAGCCTGGCGCTTGTTGTCTGCATGCCGGTGAGAATGTCTGTGACCGACGGATGGTGCTGTTTCGAATGTGATGATTGTGTTGCCTCCGTTTGATTTCTTTCACCAAATAATCTCCTTCGGTATTCGTCTCAGCATCACAGGTTTTGACATGTAGAGATTCATCCGACTCAGAGAAGTGGTCGTCCAGGTTTTCAATGTTTTCCAGCTCAGCAAGAACCTCCTGCATCATTTCATTGTAGTCCTGAAGTAGAGAGCACAAACAGACTGATGCCAATACCATTTTATATTGGTTGGTGTAATTGGCCTTAAACTCAAAAAAGAGTTAAACTTCAGCTTTTCCAGATCAGCAGTTACAAATCAATGAAAACCAAACACATTCTAACATGGCCACGGTAAGATACCAAAAGATACATGGTTTTTCTTTGAGTTTGCATAAAAAGATTTATATGCAATATTCATCCCTCTAACGAACAGCAGTTACAAAAAAATGTTGTGGCTATTAATTGAAAAAGAAATTAGGGGCCACTTTTCGGCAAAACACAAATTATTTTCCTGCAGCTTCCTCAGAAACAAACACATTCATACTTCTAAAACTATACTAAAAGCCTGTGAATAGACTTAATTCTCCCTTGTATACAGTTAATACCTGTGATAAAAGTCTAATATCATGAAGCTCGACTGTTACCTTCTCATCTTCTTCCTCCAAATCTTCATCATCTTCATCGTCCTCATCATCGTTTTCCCCAAATCCAGCCAGACGTGGGCTTGTCTCCCTATCTTGGTGGCTGGCCATATCCTCAGGACCTGTGGTCAGAGGTAATTGTCATATATTTAACAGCCCATGCCTCCTGATCAGAGGTAAAACTAGTCTTGTAGGACTCCGAGAGTGAGTCACTTTCATAAATATTCCAGCAATATCCCCAGGAACTGGCTCCACACATTGTACCATGTGTGGAATCAAACCAGGCATTCAGCCTGACAAGCACTTAGTGGCCAAGGGACACAACTCTGCACTATGAACGATAGTGAATCAGACCGAGCCATGCATGCCCAGTTCAGGCACAGAACACTATGTAGATGATCTTGGGCATGGAATGTCTTGCGTTGTTCTGGGACTGAAAGCAGAGACGTGCCGAGTGTGTGCTTACCTTGGTTCCTTGTAAGGGTGGAGGTCTGTGAGGAGATGATGGTCGACTCATCGCTGCTCTCTTCCTTCACTGAAGACACGGCAGGATGGGGAGACTTGAAGTGACTGAAATAGGCCACACTTATATATAATACACATCAGATTACACCGTCATACAATACACACACTGTCTTACATTACACACACTGTCCTACATTGCACACACTGTCCTACATTGCACACTGTCCTACATTACACACACTGTCCTACACAACACACTGTCCTACATCACAGTCCTACATTACACACTGTTCTACACTGCAGTCCTACATTGCACACACTGTCCTACATTGCACACAGTCCTACATTGCACACTGTCCTACATTACACACACTGTCCTACATTACACACACTGTCCTACATCACACACTGTCCTACATTGCACACTGTCCTACATTGCACACACTGTCCTACACACAGTCCTACATTACAGTCCTACACAGTCCTACATTACACTGTCCTACACTGCACACACTGTCCTAAATTGCACACACTGTCCTACACTGCACACACTTTTCTACTTTGCACACACTGTCCTACATTGCGCACATCATCTTGCATTGAACACATCATGAAATAGACTATTAAATATTGCATACATCATCCAATATTGCATACTGCATTATATATTGTATATACCATCACATTTAGCACACCTACCTGGCCTCCTTCACGACAACATCCAGGACTGGCTTCTCATCACGGCAGAGACGACTTACGCAGTTTGGCTGAAGAAGCTTCGAGGAGCTGTGTTACTCTGTCTGATGATTCTCTCTGAAATAGAACACATGTCCGAAATGAAAAATAATGTTCCTGTCTTGGGTAAGGTCTGGCTGAACATACACAGAATGTATCAAGCCAAAAATACCCCATTCTGGAAAAACAGAACATCCAGATGCATGTAAAACAAGAAGGAATATTTGCTTATCTGTGATTATCCACAAAGAGGTACCATGAAAAGTCCACATATCTTTGGTGATCATTTTTGGAATTCAAACCCATGACAATATCTAGCACAAGTCAGCACTTAACCCACGGTGAGTGAGGTAAACATGCAAACAACCTGGCAGTAATGGATGTCATAATCCCCACAAGTAAAGTGTTACCTGTGTGAGAGTTTGGCTGGAGGAGTGGCGTGTGTCGTCTGAGCTGAGCGTACTGCTGGATGATGGCTGACTGGCTTCACTTGATTTCTTTGTTCCTGTCCTTAAGTCGGACTGCATGAACTTAAAACTTAAAATGTTGTACCATCGAGTAGACACTTCCTTCGGGTCGAAATCAGCCAGACTCACTTGAGCACAGCCCTGTCAACAGAACAAGTTGCATTTTCAAAGAATTTCTGAGACATGAATTATAAATTATGCCGATGAAAACTAAACATCACAAAACCAAACAATAACAGGTATCAAAGGGCAAAACATTTTGCATGAAATAGTATAAGACAAAAAACTCAATGAAAATATGAAGAACTCAAACAATGATCCTATCTCTATGTTTATCAATGCTACAGATTTTACATCTGCGTGCAAATGTATTTTCATAAATTTCAAAAAGGAAAAGTTTCCATCAATGGAATCTGACACAGCTCATTTCTGTGGCACTCACCAGACACTCCTCCTCCCTCGTGGGGTGTACACTCCACACGTTAACCTGTAGCGTCTTGGAAGACAACTTCTGCTCTGCCAGGATCACACGAAATGTCTCAGCAAATTTGGTGTTCTTCAGATCTGGTAGCGTCTTCGTCTTCCACGACGTCTCCATGTTGTGTGGCAACAGTGCAGCTTTAATACATCTGAAAACCAAGAATATTATCATCAAACTGGGAGGGACAAAGAGGATAGCAGCTCTAAAAAAGGGGGTCAGTTTATTTCTGTCTAAGTACAAAATATTGTAGCTTGTTAGTGAGTAAATGCAGTTCAAAACCACAGTCAGAAATATTCCTGCTATAAAAATCAGCCATGGGCAGGGAAGCCAGTGCTTAAAAAACAACTAGCAGATTACAACAAAGGGAGGTAACTCTGCACACCAACAATTTTGGAGGTGCAACTGGGTGAGGTGAGGTGAAATCGGGTTTTACGTCATGCTTGAGAATATTTCGCTTATATATCGATGTGCATACGTGTGTATGTGTATGTGCGGCGGCGTGTACTAGCCCAGACTGAAGCTGGTTTTATAGTGCTATCTCTCTGAGATACCATGCCGCAGTGAAGCATGAATACCCGACTCAGACACATTATACTGACTCCGAGCCGACCAGTCCTTGTTGTACCCATTAATGCCGAGCGCCAGGCAGGGACCAACAAGTACCATATTTTAACGTCTTTTGGTATGACGCGGTCGGGGATCGAACCCGCAACCTTCCGCTCTCCGGGCGGACGCTCTAACCACTACACCACGGAGGCGGTGAGGTGCAACTGGGAATGATATGAGCATTGTTGTAGGTGATGAATATAACTTTCATACTGTACAACAGGGTTTTCTCATTCCTTCCAGAGACTCGCAAATCAGTATCTCCCTCATTCAGCAGAAACCAAGGAGGAGGATACCACTCACATCTTGTGTGGCAAAATCAAAACAAAATAGTTTGCAGAGTCTAGTTAATGTATGACTGCCAGCTCATTATCACCTGAAGTCATTTCACAGTTGAGCCACTGCGATGCAATTTGTCATGTTTCTGAGCTGCGTCCATGTGGGTGGCCATGAAATGTGTGCATTACATGCCGGATTCATCTACACTCGTTAAATTCACATAAATTCCTGGAATTCCATCCAGTTCAATTTGGGCACTTTTCATGCAAATAACACATTTCCCTTGATGTAAACAGAGGAATATATATCATACGGGCCTTCTCATCGGGTGGACATATCAGACAATCTCAGACAATCTCTGTCAAGCTCTGAAGCACACAGTCTCTGATGAAGACAATCCCTGAAGCTGTTGAGTCTCTCAAGGTTGTTTATTTCAACATCATTCCAAATAAATGTAGACGTTTACAAGATACACAAACTCAGAAAAGAACTTACAAGTCAGAAACTTCATAGTAGTTTGCTCACTTTTTGATACCCACCATAAAATATTCCAGATGGCAGATTTATTAGATAAAAGATTGCTATGCAGTCAGATAATGGTGTATGACAGGGGCAGATAGATGAATGCATATGAATCCATAACTTATGGGTGCCAATAACTTATCAGAACTGTATGGATTCAATATTGGAACAATATCAATGTTTGGGGCAACGATTTTGTTGTCCTGGAGCTTACGCCTGATTGGTTTGATGATGACAAACATCAAAACACTGAAGCAAGTACATGTGTTGAGTTATCTTTAGGCTTGCTGAATCAAACATTTAATAAGTGCAAAACTATAAAAAACAGATCAATTTCAATGACTGATTAGTTGGACTGGTCCAGTCACCAATGATGCTTCAGCCAGTTTCCAGCATCAGACATAATACTTACACATGGCCTCCTTCTGGGAAAGCAAGTGCCATCAGATTGCGGGCTTGTTCGATCCCTATCAACAACATCTTCTCCACGCCTTCGTACCTGGAACCAGACACAACACAGATTAAAATTAAGTCCAATGACAACAGTACCAGGAAATATAGATTGTACATTGCACCAGACAAAATCGAGAAAAACAGATGCTGACATCAGATTATGCAGAATATGACACATAAAAATCTGATAGATTATTGAAAAATCAGCAGCATCACAACTGACTGATCCCACCCTCACATTTGAAAGATATCAATCACTATAGTGAATGAGTGAGTGAGTGAGTGAGTGAGTTTTATGCCGCACTCAGCAATATTCCAGCTATATGGCAGTGGTCTGTAAATAATAGAGTCTGGACCAGACAATCCAGTAATCAACAGCATGATCATCGATCTGCGCAATTGGGAACCGATAACATGTGTCAACCAAGCCAGCAAGCCTGACCACCCGATCCCATTAGTCGCCTCTTACGACAAGCATGGGTTACTGAAGGCTCATTCTAACCCAGACCTTCACCGGTCAATCACAATAGAATGATATCAATCACAATAAACAGATATCATATCACAATTTACAGATATCACCATCACAATCAACAGATATCACCATCACAACAGACAGATCACTCAGATATCACTATCACAATCAACAGATATCACCATCAGAGGTGGACATTGCCCACAATCTCTAGTTGTTGGACTCCTGCCATAGAGTACAGGAACACCATCACTGGCTACCTCACCACCCCAGGATTAATTCAATGGGGACAAACAGACATGCATCAGTGAAGTCAGCAAGCCTGACACACACACACCCCACCCCCATCCAAACCCAATCACACAAGCCCATTATGTGCTTCTTACAACAAGCATGGGTCCTTAATTCTGGCTAAATATGTGAAACTGTATGACATGAAGAAATAAACCTTTCTAAGTAAATACAAATAAAAGTCTTCAAAACTAATAGATCTTCTTCTAATATCAACTGCTAAACACTTCTTCATTCCATGTCAAACAAGAGACCAAGATTGATTAATAATCTTTTTGTTCAGAGTGAAAAACGACACAATTTCAAACTTCCAGTTAAAGAATCCTTGTAAGCAGACGCCATCTGTGTTGAAGTATATGGCAGATCACCATGACATAGGTCAGTGGAAACTCATCTCCATCCCAATAATAACCCATGACATGAATTCCTCCCATTTCATCTCCTACCACAGGAACTAAGAAAGACGCAACCTTCTGATGAACATATGTGTGTGTCATTCCGAACCCTTGGAGTAGATCTTATATTGAATTACTTTGCTCTGCAAACTCTGGAATCTTTCCAATTCATTTTTCCAGCAATGTATAGCAATCAACATCCTCCCAACAAAACTAGCAAAGAAAAATAACAGTCAAAACAAATTCAACAAAACGTTTTTAAAGTATTATCAAACATCTTTCAAACCCTGAACATCTCAAAAAGGGAAAGTGCATCCTCTTCAGTCTCTGACAATTCTATTCGTCAAAAACAGACACTTAGTTCCAGAAATATAGGTATCTTGTTTGAAAATATAAATAAACTCCAAAACGAGCACGGAAAAGTTCTTCACTTAAGAGGTGAGGCAATCTAGACTTGAGCAATCATTCTAGACTTGAGATAGACTCCATGAATACTTAAGTCTCTAGGGCCTGGAGACGGGCTAGGTCATGAGGTGCTCCCTTGATTGCCAGCAAGACTCAAAGACAACTGAAGATGCTGGTTTCATGTGCACTCAAAGAGGAAATAGCCAGAAGAGTGTGCATCACTAAACACACAGCTTTGGACTGATGCCAAGATCTGCACAGAGGAGAGATGACAGTTTATCGAACAAAAATGGCAGAATGCTCTAGCCCATCGGGGAGTCTGCTCCCCAGTCTGTAGTGGAGAAACAGGTACACCTCAGGGCTGCTTACCTAGTCCGAAGGAAATATGATCATAGCTCAAGGTGAAGGTGTTCCATCAGAACTGTCAAGTAGATAGTCAAACTGAGCTTAATACAGCTCTGACTTAACTCTACTTCTACAAGCTGACCTAGATTGTCATGAAGAAATTAATGAGGGGGGAGAGAGGGGTGTCCTCGTATTGTACAGTACTGGAAACTAAACCTGGATCTCTGGCAAAACACTGACCTCAGACGAGGTCTGCACGGGCATGGTGTTGACAAACCTAGAAACGATTGTGTGTGGAGTTGAGTGAGTGGTTGAGTGAATTGGTAAGTGAGTGGATGGATGAAGGAATGGCGAGTAAGTGAAGGAGTTGGTGAATGGATTAGCAAATGAGTGAATGGGTGGATGGATGGGCGAGTTGGCCGGTTTGTTGCTTGTTTTCAGTGGTTGATTGAATGGGCTGCAAGTAACAAACAAACCAAAACTGGACACGACCAGAAGAGATTGGCATAGATCGGAGATGATCCGTGCTGCTTGTTCAATACACATATATACTATTGGGATGCAATACCAACCAGTCACTTCTCAGCATCAGACATCATACTTACACATGGCCTCCTTCTGGGAAAGCAAGTGCCATCAGATTGCGGGCTTGTTCGATCCCTATCAACAACATCTTCTCCACGCCTTCGTACCTGGAACCAGACACAACACGGATTAAAATTAAGTCCCATGAAAACAGTATCGGGAAATATAGATTGTACATTGCACCAGGCAAAATCATGGAGAAAAACAGATACTGACATCAGATTATGCAGAAAATGACACATAAAAATCTGATAGTAGATTATGGAAAAAGCAGCAGCATCACAACTGACTGATCCCACCATCACATTTGAAAGATATCAATCACTATAGTGAATGAGTGAGTGAGTTTAGTTTTACGCCGCACTCAGCAATATTCCAGCTATATGGCGGCGGTCTGGAAATAATCCAGTCTGGACCAGACAATCCAGTGATCAACAGCATGAGCATCGATCTGCGTAATTGGGAACCGAAAACCACCCGATCCCGTTAGTCGCCTCTTACGACAATCATGGGTTACTGAAGGTCATTCTAACCCGGACCTTCACGGGTCAAACACAATAGAATGATATCAATTACAATAAACAGACATCACCATCACAATAAACAGATATCACATCACAATCAACAGATATCACCATCACAATCAACAGATATCACATCACAATCAACAGATATCACCATCACAATAGACAGATATCACCATCACAATAGACAGAGATCACTCAGATATCGCTATCACAATCGACAGATATCACCATCACAACAGACAGATTACTCAGATATCGCTATCACAATCAACAGATATCACCATCATAGGTGGACATTGTTCACAATCTCTAGTTATTGGACTCCTGCCATAGAGGACAGGAACACCATCACTAAACACAAGCCTCAGGTACAATGCCAAGTTGTATACAACAGCTGAATTAGAAATGATTGAAATAATCAAGTAAGGATCAGAGAGAGAAAGAGAGAGGGAGAGAGAAAGTGTGTGTAAGTGAGTGAGTGAAGTTTTATGCTGCTTCTAGCAATATTCCAGCAACATCACCCCAGGAGATTACCATGTAGGGGAATGGAACCCAGGTTTTCGGTGCGAGGAGCGAATGCTTTAACCACTAGGCTACTTCACCACCCCAGTCAGGATTAGAAAATCCAGCCAATGACATCATGGGCAACTATTAACTCAATGGAGAGACACAGACATGTATCAGTGAAGTCAGCAAGCCTGACCCCCCCACCCCCCACCCCACCCCAAGCCCAATATGTTCCTCTTACAACAAGCATGGGTCTTTAATTCTGGCTAAATATGTGAAACTGTATGACATGAAGAAATAAACTTTTCTAAGTAAATACAAATAAAAGTCTTCAAAACTAATAGATCTTCTTCTAATATCAACTGCTAAACACTTCTTCATTCCATGTCAAACAAGAGACCAAGATTGATTAATAATTTTTTTGTTCAGAGTGAAAAACGCCGCAATTTCAAACTTCCAGTTTAAAGAATCCTTGTAAGCAGACGCCATCTGTGTTGAAGTATATGGCAGATCACCATGACATAGGTCAGTGGAAACTCATCTCCATCCCAATAATAACCCATGACATACATTCCTCCCATTTCATCTCCAACCACAGGAACTAAGAAAGACGCAACCTTCTGATGAGCATGTGTGTGTGTCATTCCGAACCCTTGGAGTAGATCTTATATTGAATTACTTTGCTCTGCAAACTCTGGAATCTTTCCAATTCATTTTTCCAGCAATGTATAGCAATCAACATCCTCCCAACAAAACTAGCAAAGAAAAAATAACAGTCAAAACAAATTCAACAAAACTTTTTTAAAGTATTATTAAACATCTTTCAAACCCTGAACATCTCAAAAAGGGAAAGTGCTTCCTCCTCAGCCTCTGACAATTCTATTCGTCAAAAACGGAGATTAGTTCCAGAAATATAGATATCTTGTTTAAAAATATAAATAAACTCCAAAAGGAGCACGGAACAAATCTTCACTTAAGAGGTGAGGCAATCTAGACTTGAGCAATCATTCTAGACTTGAGATAGACTCCATGAATACTTAAGTCTCTAGGGCCTGGAGACGGGCTAGGTCATGAGGTGCTCCCTTCATTGCCAGCAAGACTCAAAGACAACTGAAGATGCTGGTTTCATGTGCACTCAAAGAGGAAATAGCCAGAAGAGTGTGCATCACTAAACACACAGCTTTGGACTGATGCCAAGATCTGCACAGAGGAGAGATGACAGTTTATCGCACAATAATGGCAGAATGCTCTAGCCCATCGGGGAGTTTGCTCTCCAGTCTGTAGTGGAGAAACAGGTACACCTTAGGGCTGCTTACCTATTCCGAAGGAAATATGATCATAGCTCAAGGTCAAGCTGTTCCATCAGAACTGTCAAGTAGATAGTCAAACTGAGCTTGATTCAGCTCTGACTTAACTTTACTTCTACAAGCTGACTAGATTGTCATGAAGAAATTAATGAGGGGGGAGAGAGGGGTGTCCTCATATTGTACAATACTGGAAACTAAACCTGGATCTCTGGCATAACACTGACCTCAGACGAGGTCTGCATTGGCATGGTGTTGACAAACCTAGAAACGATTGTGTGTGGAGTTCAGTGAGTGGTTGAGTGGTTGAGTGAATGGTTAAGTGAGTGGATGGATGAAGGAGTTGGCGAATGGATTAGCAAATGAGTGAATGGGTGGGTGGATGGGCGAGTTGGCAGGTTTGTTGCTTGTTTTCAGTGGTTGATTGAGTGGGCTGCAAGTAACAAGCAAACCAAATCTGGACACGACCAGAAGAGATTGGCATAGATCAGAGATGATCCGTGCTGCTTGTTCAATACACATATATACCATTGGGATGCAATACCAACCAGTCACTTCACACACAGTGAGCAGCTTATTCTCCCTTACAACAAGCATAGGATAATATTAGTCTCAGTCTCTAAATCGCATTTTTTTCCCTTCTGCCTTGATCTTTCTGCAGTGCTAAAGCCCTAAATGAAGCACGACTAAATTCATACAGGTTCTCCCAACAACTGGGGCTCCCTTTGGATTTAAAAGGAATTATTTCTTCTCACCAAAATTATACATATTGAAGAGACATAAGCGTTAGTCTAGGTACAGACTTCACACCTCCTGACCCTGAAACCTGGCAGGTATTAACTCCAGTACCGGTAAATGTAACCAAACACACTAAACCTACACCTACAGCAAGAAAACTCATGTTTAACTGAGAAAAGTCTACTCCAGACTGAGACCATCATCACGGAATGACAAATAAATTTAAGTTAAATAAACAAAAGAAATATCATATTTCAAACCCATGAAAAACAAATGGCAATGAAAAGTGAAGCACATGCTATAAAGAAAGCAGCAGGACTATTTCTGTCTGTACAGTGCAGACACCATGAATGTATGACAGTGTATGCCTGGCACGGCACCAAGGCATGCACACCGGCTTGTGGCCAACCGCCGTCGCCGCCAATAGAACAGCATACAGGGACTGGGTTACTATGTTCCTCTCAGAAAACAATCCACACTCATTCCGTAACCGCAATGTCCGATTTTTTAAACTTTGGGGATGCTGGCTGCAAGTTTGCCAAAGATTGAGGCACAGAGGTATCTTCTTCTGTATGACTCATGCTGTCTGAGACTGTATTCCCCGGTGCTGGAAGTCCATCAGTGTCTGGCGCCACCGCCAGCTTACCATATTCTTGATAATCAACACCCTGTCATCTGTAGTGAGGTTTATAGACAATATTCTTTAGGATCAACACCCTGTCATACAGAGTGGGGTTTATATACCATATTCCTTATAATCAACAACCTGTCATATAGAGTGAGGTTTATAAACCATATTCCTTACAATCAGCCCAATATCACATACAGTAAGATATATACCATATTCCTAATCATTAACATCATGTCACATGTGGGGTTCACAGGGGTGGAAATAACTTTAAAATTGCTAGTGTACTCCGGTACAGTAGCACATGTAAAGTCACTTGCCCTGAAAATTTTCCCACTATACCGACCGTTTTCTTGCTGATTTTTTAAATAAACAACATAATTAACATTTGAAACTCAACTGGACACCGATACAGTGTGATATACAAATTTGCTTGCCCGCCAGAAAAAAACACTGGACTCAGACGTCGGGCAATGGGTTATTTCCACCCCTGGGTTCATCATATCATCAAATGAACCGATAACATTCATATCCTGATACTTACACCCTAACATAGCTTACATATAATATTCTTTATTTATAACATAGTTATATACCATACTTCTTGCAATTAACAATCCCATAAGTGTAGCATTAAACAACAAATAAACAAGCATTGTCACTAAGGTGACATAATCCCCCGCCGCAAATTATCAAATCAAACTTATCAAATCAAACTTATAAAGTAATGAAAGTTTAAGATGAATATTATATGTCAACAGAAAAAGCAGGACCAGTCAACCCGGGTCTTGATATCTTGCTCTTTAGTTGTTCAAACAGTGACAAACATGAAACACATATTTTCAAGACAGGACCAGACCCTTGATATGAATGAAATATGCAAACACAAAATAGTAATATGCAAAATTAGTATTAAAGAAATTGCTTATTGAAAAACATTCAAGGGAAGTCTTGAAAGTCTATGAAGAAAATCCAGTGAACCGTTCTTGAAATATCTTGCTGACACTTCAGGTTAACATGCTGAAATCTTCAAAGTGTCGTCGTGACCCTGAAAATTATGTGAAGGTCACCAAAATTGACTGGGCCCTTTGCCTTCCCTGGATGAAGCTTGGTGTCAAACATGAAGAAAATCCAGTGAATATATTTTGAGATATCTTGCTGACTATCTTAACATGCAATTAAACATGCTGAAATCTTCAAAGTGTCGCCATGACCTTGAAAATTAAGTGAAGGTCACCAAAATCGACTGGGCCCTTTGCCTTCCCTGGATGAAGCTTTGTGTCAAATATGAAGAAAATCCAGTGAATGTTCTTGAGGTATCTCGGTGACAAACATAACATGCAGGTTAATATGCTGAAATCTTCAAAGTGTCTCTGTGACCTTGAAAATTATGTGAAGGTCACTAAAATTGACTGGGCCCTGTGCCTTCCCTAGATGAAGCTTGGTGTCAAATCTGAAGAAAATCCTGAGAACGTTTCTTGAGATAGCTTAACATGCAGGTTAACATGCTGAAATCTTCAGTGTCGCCATGACCTTGAAAATTACGTAACATGCACGTAAAACGTTAAAGTCCCCTTGTGAACTTGAAATGAAGGTCAAGGTCACAAACCTGACTTGGAGCTTTCTTATACTGTAATGAACCTAGGTACCAAATATGAAAAGAATCCTAGTGACCGGTTCTGACGGTTCTTAAGATATTCCAACATGAAAAGAATCGATCGGTTCTTAAAGATATTCCAATTGAAAATGACAATGGCAGAGCCTAATACTATATCCCCTGCTTCGAGCTAAACGGGCGGCGGGGGATAACAAACACAATTAACACCCAGTCTTACATAAAGAGGAACACTTTTTATGATCATTTGCTTGATAACAGTGTCAGTATCTACATCGAAAAGTTGCATCTATTGCTATAAAAAAGTTGTCTATCCATAATAAGTGTTCCTCTTCATCATACCAGCTTCTAAATGCCACTATAAGAAGATACAGTCTTACATAGGGGTGGAATACATAACCAAGGTATCTGTATGTCATGGTTCCTCAGTAGGCCCCTACACAGGCAGGGGCAGGTAATGGGGGACTGGGTACCACAGTAGTACATTCAGCCTCACAGCATATGTATGTATACCTACAAACGCTTACAAACGATACATACTGGCAATGTTAATCAGGAGTGGAAATAACTTTAAAATTGCTAGTGTACTCGGTACAGTGGCACATGTAAAATCTCTTGCCCTAATAATTTTCCCACTATACTGGGCGATTTTCTTGTTAATTTTTTAAATAAGAAACATAATGAACATAGAAAAGTCAACTGGACATCAGTACACCATGATATACAAATTGGCTTGCCCAATAGAAAAAAACACTGGACTGGGACGTCGAGCAACGGGTTCTTTTCCACCCCTGCTGTTACACTGACAGATAGCCCGGAGATTAATCTCTGTTGTTCAAATAGCTAACACTAACATTCTACCTAGATCATAGTGCCCTGGAAATATTCAAGTTTCGACCCAACAAACCAGAGGGTGATAGTATGAGCCACAGTCAAAGCCACTTTATATAACGACACACAATCCAAGCCTGATCCGTTTAGTTGCTTCAGAGGCTGCTGGGAACCTGTTGAGCCCCAGAACACCCAAGGGGTTATAGCCCATGGATCGAGTGATGGGCGAAACCTTGGCAAGTTGTTCTGCCTCTCATCAACAAGCTCATTTTCTAAATATTTCCCACGCTTCACGTAAAGTCGCTCTTGAACACAGTGGAACGATGAGTCAACATTGTTCAACATTGCCATTATTTTTAGCCGATAATATACAGAAGAAACATCCTTCCATCCACGCGATGAGGGTGTGTATCTGGTTCAACTTCACTTTGATCAGTAAGTTAGTTGTATCATGGCAGTCAAAGGATGAAACAAAACACCAACAGTATCATCATTCCAAGGAAAAAACTAACGACAAAAAATTCAGATGTAATGATTTTACATCTGAAAAAGAACATGCACTGCCAACCCTAATGGAAGCTTGAGCAATCAGTAGGGTAAGAAATAGATATTTTCATGTGAAAAAGGGGTAATGGTAACATTTTTAGAACGCATGCATCTTTGAGATTCCGGTTTTCACTTCAAGGTGTTTGATAGGTCTAGGTGTAAGGTAAAGAATTGGTCAAAGCTCCACACATAAAACTTTTCATGTGACATTAATGAGCTATTTTTCAGACTGACAACGTGGTGTTTTGATTTCTGAAGCAGTATCAGTGTACATGTAATTACATCCTTGTCTGCATCCTCAAACAACAAAATGAGAGAGTGTGTGTGAGTGAGTGAGTGAGTGAGTGAGGTATGCTGTTGTCCTGAACTGTATTTCTGTTACCTCCTTACTTGTCGTCTTAAGACAATACAATCTCTCACATCTACCAGTTCCTGGGCCTGACCTTACAAACCAGTGACTGACAACATGAGCATTAAACCAAACTGTTATCAGCTCCAGTGTTGTCACCACTAGGCAGTCATCCTCATCTCCATTAGCCATTACTTAAGTCTAGTGACATACCATGGCATGTAAATTAGAAACATAAGCATGTAATGGTATTTTCAGTTGCATCACTGTTTTGCAGGTTAGGTACTGGAGAAAGCCTATTAGTACATGTAGCTGTTTACCATGAAAATCAATAGGAAGGGAACACTTGATCAAACCAGGATTCAAACACACTACCATCAGATCCTAGCACTACCAAGGGAGGCAACTCACATAAAGATACAACTTTTCCATTTGGGTACAGAATTAGCATACATAGGACACTGACAAGCTTCCTGTTGCAGAAGTTACCCTGGTTTCTTCTTCTTTTTCATCATATTCTGCTGTTACTTCTACTTCTACTAAAGCTTCCCATTTTGACAATTGGACATGCATCCTTCCGAGAAAATACCAATGACCTTTATACAAATATTTCCACATCACTCATATGAAATACTGGATCAACATCAAAGATGAATTTAAACAGCCTACTTAAGTGCAATCCCACTGACAGGAAATTTAAATTTTCATTTTGGAGAAGCCGCAGTGTCAGCAGGAAGTGGAACAATGGGTAAATATTTCACTGGCTAACAGTGTTCCTATCACTATCAGCTTCCGGGTAGGAAAACTTCAAACTACACTATGAATCACTTGCAGTGGATTACTAACCACTTAGGAATGTAATAAACATAAATACTGTCTTAATGCAAAGCAATAAATAATAATGCAATTCAGCTGGATCAAAACCATCTGGTGAGCCTGTAGTAACCAGTCTCGGGTGGTAGCTCTCACACTGAAATACACTGTGGGACGGCTAGACAGGCAAATTATTTCCTAAAAATGACCCTTGATAGTCAGACTGCGTACTATGTACATCATAAGATATGCTCTGTATCTCCTAACAGTAAAACTTGATAGTCCAAACTGATCACTAGGACTGCTAGAGTTGCAACAGATTTCAAAAACATGAACAGCTTGATACACAGAATAAACAAATGATTTTAAATAATTGTACACTCTCACATCCAAAGATGATGTTATCGAACTACTGTTGATATAGAGGGTAATACAGAGTCCACGCTCACAACCAAGGCTGATGACATCAATACTGGTTTCATATACAGTACTACCAGTATGCTCTCCAAACCATCACTGATGTCATCCACCATACAGAGTAATACATTGTACACTCTCACAACCAACACTGATGGTACCAACCTGTTGATATACACAGTAATACATTGTACACTCTCACAACCAACACTGATGGTACGAACCTGTTGATATACACACAATACATTGTGTACACTCTCACAACCAACACTGATGGTACCAACCTGTTGATATACACAGTAATACATTGTACACTCTCACAACCAACACTGATGGTACCAACCTGTTGATATACACAGTAATACATTGTACACTCTCACAACCAACACTGATGGTACCAATCTGTTGATATACACAGTAATACATTGTACACTCTCACAACCAACACTGATGGTACCAACCTGTTGATATACACAGTAATACATTGTACCAACCTGTTGATATACACAGTAATACATTGTACCAACCTGTTGATATACACAGTAATACATTGTACACTCTCACATCCAACAATGACATCAATATTGGGTTGATATACAGTAGAATACTTTTATAACGAACACAGATATAATAAACTGACGGCTATAGCGAACTGTTTAAAAAGACCCAAATAAACCTTATATTATCGTATAAAAAAGTGAATAGCGAACTACGGATATAACGAACTAATTTCAGTGGTCCCTTAGAATTCGTTATAAAGGTATTTTACTGTACATTTATAAATAATACACTCTCACAACCAACATTGATGTCATTAACCTACTTTTGATACATATTGTAAACAATCCATAATACAATGAAACAATCCATAACACAATGACATAGTTTAACTTACTTGAGCTTTATCTGTATCTGTGCACTTTCCAGATTTGTTTCCAGCACCTCATCAATCACACCAGTCCTGCAACAACACCGACCCATTAACAATGTAGGATGTATATCACAATCTACACCATCACAACTTAACCACACCAGTCCTGCAACAACACCGACTCCATTAACAATGTAAGATGTATATCACAATTTACACCATCAACTTAACCAGACTTCTGTGGGGTCAGATTTCATCACTGACAAAAACACATCGATCACGGTTAATCCATCATTACTTAAGGAGTGACTGCACCACCAGGGCAAGACATGCTTACCCTTTCTGTCAACTGGTGTCACCACCAAACTAAAGACCAATTCACATGCACCTGCTTGCACACATATGTATAAATACACACATAAGCAAACTTTACATGGTGTGTGTGTAAATGTGTCAAGTAAACACATTTACACTTCTAAATGTAAAGAATATACAATAGGTTCAGAGCAAATTTGCACTTGTTTGAACACAATTTCTTACATAAATCCATGTGAATGCATAAAAAAATACTAGACAAGCATTTCTAGTGTTTCAATTGGTTAAATTCACTGTTTGGTTTAAAATCAAATCTAAAAAATGCCTCAATTTTCAGTTGACAAATTGCAGTATGTATAAAACAGTACGATTATCAGCCCATGAGACACTCCTGGTCACAAACACTGGAAGGTATTTCAAAACTAAGTCGCTATAGTCCGTTTGCTCAAAAGCATTATATGTTCGATTATGAGAAAATGATGAATTGCAATCTAACTTCGAAAACTAGTAAACATAAAATACTCAATGAAACACTGATCATAATGATGGGGCGTCAGACCAACTCTGAGAGATTCTTGCAGAATTTTTGTCCTAAAAATAAAAAAGTTGTTCAACAAACTATCATTAAAATATCGACACAGTTCACTATTTGTTACAAGGGAGGACTGCAGAGAAAGGGACAGCCGGGTGTGCAAGAAAGGATGCAGACGGCACAGCACAGGTTAATGAATCAATAACTTTGTCGGCACTTGTGCACGTGCTTCTCTAACACCTGGCTGTCCCTTTCTCTGCACTCTTCCCTCATAACAAATAGTGAACTGTGTCAATATTTTAATGATAGTTTGTTAAACAACTTTTTTCATTTTAGGACATAAATTCTGCAAACAAATCACANGAGTTGGTCTGATATTTTTATATGTTCATTAGTTTTTGAGTTAGATTATTCACTTGAGCCAAAACTATCTTAAGTAAATTAATCTTAAGGTTAACTATTAATGAACATGTTCCATGTTATCAAACATGCCAGACATATTTCATGAGAAGATCAGCAATTTTTAATTTCAACGTAAGTTTCCTCCCCAAGAGCTGGCTGGGGTGAAGGTTTCAGCGGTCTTAACTTGGGTTCCCATCTCAATGTTTATACACCATGTACATCTAACAGGTCAGTTGAGTGCGACAGACCAATCCCAGAAATCAGGCCTCACAAAGTCCCACATTTCCCCCTGATTACCATCTTGAACCAGCAATGGGGGTCTCCTGCCACAGCGGTTCTCAGCCTGTACCGTGATTGTAGATACTGTCAGCCATTAGGGAACCATTGTTCTACCAACATTTCCACTTTCTCAGGACATAAACTTAATTTTAATATGGGAAAGTGTCATGATTTGAATAAGGTAAGTGCGTGACTGTTGTTTTAAGCAGTTTTAAGCTATATTCCAGCCCAAACAAGGTAGGATGCCACAAACGACATTTGGGAATCGAACTCTGGTCTTCAGCATGGTGAGCAAACCAACCACTCTGCCTTCCAACTGCCTAAAACCATATGCAGGGAAAGGAAACCTACTTGGTCCCAGTGCAACCACAGCTCATAACCTTGTTGCATCAGACTAGCAGTTTGCAGCTTGTGCTCAATATATATATATATATACTCTCTCTCCTCACACATGAATGTCGTTTTCTGATTGGCTGAGCGCTCTTCTATTATTTTCAATGTACCCCACTTACAAGCGAATAACATTTTCATGAATGTACCCCGCTGAGAATGCCGAACTCATTTGGTACTTCGTAGTAGTAATTCTTTATCTCAAATAACATTGAATCACGTATGATGTACGGAAATTACCGATGTTTTGCGAATGCAAATCGATGGAAGGGAGATAACTCTAAATTTGTTTTTCTTGTCGTCTGGTACTCCATATCATGATCCGATACCCATGCTTCAAACAGTTCAAAATTACCATTAAGGTGTTCAGTAAGATAATACATTGTTCACTGGTCCCTCGGGGCCCATGGGTTGATGTACCCTCGATGTTGATCAACCCCCTATGGGGTTCGCTTGAAATACTATTCGGAGGGTATAGGGCGCGAGAGTAAATTTAATGCAACGTTGCATTCATTCATTAGAACTTTTAATTTAATATTGTAATCTAAACACGCAATTTTTCTAAAAATAAATTATATGGTAGCTTCCCTGAGGGCTGATAGTTAGTATTATTGAGAGAAATGCATTATTTATTTGAGAGAAATGCATTATTTATTTTAGAGAAGTGTGGTGTGATATAGTGCCTTCAAGTTTCAGCATTCATGATTTAGATCATCAGTACAATAACATTATTCTGGCGCTATTAGATTATGTTATTTTACTGCATAACATTTCATGACATTGCCAGAGAAGTCATTCAATTACTGTCCGGTCACTACCAAAGCCAGTTCCTCATCATTCCGTTTTCCAGCTGAAGTCTGCATTCTTTGAACATGCACTGGTTGCAAGTTGGTATAAACATGAGGTTTCGCGGTCTCTGGATGCACTAGTGTAAGTTCTAAATGCTTACATCAAGCCCTGATATAAAATAATACAGTATATTTTACAGACTGTTTGCTCTTCTCCATAGAATAACATGTACCAAGACCTGAAATCCAGTCAGTAAGAATTGTACATGATACACGTATGATCCGTCCCCATGCAATGCTTAAAAAAAACCCACAGATATGAAGACCTGACCTATCAAGTCAGGTCACAGTGACCTTTCATCCAACCAGAGAATCATTTGAGACATTGTGAAAAAACGAAAATCTGAATGGGTTTTCTGATCATGCACCGCTGAAAAGGTTAATGGGTTATTAAAACAGCACTTAAATTCCATGACTGATCCTGAATCCCAGACATAGCCTATCTCTTGATTAAATGGGACAAACATTTGAAAAGGATAAATTTCCGTAACTAGTGTACAGTTCCACACAATATCAGGCATAAAACAGGTATTCAAGAACTATCTATTTTTCTTTGATGTAGCTGATACTAATATTTAGAAAACGAGGAAAAAGATTCTTAGTACCATTTCATAAACATCAAAGGGTAATCATTGATGTTGTATTATTGTATCCTTGTCGGGAGTAAACTGTCTGTGACAAGCGACGGGTATAACCACTTCACTGTCTCATACTATCTTCAATATGAATGGAAGCCTGAGAGGTCAAGGTCACAATTAATGTTAACAGTATTCTCTCAGAAGCATACTTATAAAAGCAACATTTGCAAAACATTTACATCGTGTTGCTATTGATGTTGAGTTTGATACTAACCTTTTGACTGATGCTTCAAACACACCACTGTCACCAGCTACAGACTCATCACTCACTGCTGCAGAAACACTCCGTGTATTTCCACCAGACAAATTGTTGCACACACCGGAACTACTTTCACTGATTGGACTAAGAGGAGGGTTAGATGTGGAGTCCAAGTTCTCTAATCCTTGTGAACGTTTTGTGTTTATTTCACCACTCTCCGCTAGTAAAGATTGCGGAACCATTTGTCCGACCACTGGCACTCTAGTCCGAGAGTTATCTACCCTTGGGTATTGTGGAGAATTTTCTGTTAATTTTGATTGATCGCAGTTCGTAAGAGGTTGCCCACCAACCATCCAGTTGCCACCCAGGCTCACATGACGCTGCCGTTCCACGGCGTTCATGTGTTGCTCGTAAGTGGGCGGGGGAACTATTTCCATGGGCATATAAGGAGACACTGGCGGCGATGTTGATGAAAATGAAGATTTCGGGGACACTGATTTAACCGAAGGCACTTTATCCCCCGTTGCCATGACACTATGTAGGTAATTCCCTGTCGCTGCCGCTGTGATGTCTAAGTTGGACATTTGCGGAATGACCGCTTCCTGAATAGGGGCCATCACGTGACCCTGCAGAAGTTTCTCAACACGTTGATGAAGGTCCTGTAAATTTATATCACTTCCACTTTGGCTCTGATTGTAAATGTCCACAGCACTGAGGGAGTTGAGGGATCCCAGGCTGCTGGCCGAGAGAGACCCTAGTGATCCCAGGCTTGATCCCGAGGACATTGACAATGTGCTCAGCGACAAGCTGCAACATAACAAGGATAGTTGTAAGTCTTGACAAGGACACATCATCATGGAACGAGTGAATGTTGTTTTGTTCCCAGTTAGAATTATTCCAGCCATATCAAAGTAAAATCTAAATGATTGAGTCAAGACTACAAAAAACGTGACTAAAAACATGAGTGAGTGAGTGAGTTTACTTTCATGCCGATTTTAGCAATATTTGAGCAATATTTCAGCAAAATCACAGCAGAGGAACACCTGAAATGGGCTTCATGTATTACACCCATGTGGGGAATCGTACCCCGATCTTTGGCATGACGAGTGAACGATTTAACCACTAGGCTAACATACCACAACAACAGATAAAATGAGCACAGATCCCAGCCTAACCATCAGTTCCCCAGTTTGGTAGACAAGCACGAGGTACTGGGGGCCTCTACCACTGGAATCCCCAAAACGTGCTGTCATTTTGCTCTTTTTTTATTTTTACGCCGCTTTTAGCGATATTCCAGCAATATCACGGCAGGGGACACCAGAAATGGGCTTCACACATTGTGCCCATGTGGGGAATCGAACCCGGGTCTTCGGCGTGACGAGCGAACGCTTTAACCACTAGGCTACCCCACCGCCCTAATGATGGCATTGAAACACCTTTTGAAAGGGAAGCAGTGAGCGGATGAGTGGTGTTAAAAAATGCTTTGAAAAGTTTTCTAATTATATGACAGAATGTGAGATCAATGTGTAAGGAAAAACTGAAGTAATGCAGGTCCATTCTGTTGAAATCCACTACCACAGGTTTATGTTGTGAAAACACCAACACCGATTTGAGAGGCAAACCCAAGTGTGAGCATCAATTTGATATTACCATTGCAAGTATTTAACTGACTAGATGATGCACCATCAATCTATTTTGTAGTTAATGCAACTCATATCAATATTTCTGCTATATGATGGCTAACTATGAACAATATTTGGACCAGACATTAAGCAAGACCAGATCCTACAATCATTTTTGATTGCCTCAGATATTTTGCTGCCTTGTATGTAGGGGTGGGTATTGTCGAAAATTTTCATATTGCGATATATTGCGATGCGAAAGCATATATTGCGATATGTATTGCAATATATTGCAAGAATTATTTTTTTTAAAAACTACTTATAATCGAGTTAATGCTTGATTTACAAAGCAAAAACACAACAAAATCGCTATGCTTGATTAGGCTTTAATAAAAACTTTAAATCATGACAAAATAAAAATGCAAATAATGTTTGGAACAAATGAAACAAGGAAAGGAACAAATTAAAAAAACGGAAATATCCGAAAAATTTCTGAGTGTTATGAAGTTTTCCGAATGTATGTCAAAATACCGGTTTTCGATCAGCGTATCGTAATACGTATCGCTCTCATGCCTAAACCGGTTATATTGCGCAGCCCTACTTGTATGACATGCATTGTTTACTGAACGCACCTCCCGAACCATGAGTTCTGATGGGCATCGGCAGTAACAACACTCACCTCTTCAGCTGCGTCTCAAGGTACGACGTTAACTTGGTGGTCTCCGAAAGCTGATGCATCACAGTAACCTTCTCATTGTTTAGTTTTAATCTGAAATGTTCAGAAAAGTAGACATTTTGAAATATTCACACACGTTTAGATCCATGTTGTTAAAACATAACAGTGACAGTCAGAAGACTGTCAGAATATGGCACATATCCTTTGTGTGCTATTGCACATGAAACAAGCAAACTAGTGATTGATATCATAAGTAATTACCTGCAGTGTTTGTCTGGGTTGTGTGCATGCATCTGTGTCTGTGTGTCTCTGTGTGTGTATCTATCCTCATACTAGTCTGGAGCAATGCCAATTGATTGCGCTTGTCAACTGAGAAACCATGGCATAGCTTAACAAGGATACCCCACTCAGTAAAAAGCAGAAAGTATCCTAGTTGACCAGTCCTAGCATTTTCCTTCCAAAAACACAGTGTTCACCAGGCAGGGAAACAACAAATGCCATCTTTAATGTCTTTAGGTACGACATGGCCAAGCATGTCTTCGGGCAGACATGAAGTACAAGCACCTATTCTGTCCGAGAATCTGTCTGTAACTGATTCGTTTCCTACCTCTCTGCTATCTGCTTGTTGGAGATCGCCAAAGCATGGTTGATGTCATATTTCAACTGTGCGATTCGCTGTTGTATCTTAGCCAGCTCACTCTCACTGCGACCTTTAGGGTCAATACTTCTTAATTCACGTAGCAACTGTTCCTTTTCTTGCAGCAACAACAATCTGCAGAAAAAAAGAATCAATTTACAAATGCATCAAAAAGGAGTGATTCTATTATCATGATTCTGTATATCAACACTATTACAGCCTATTACACTAGAAAAGAGAAAAGTAAATCTGGACAGCAATTACATAACCTTGAACCTCTCTGACAACATATTTTTCATTTAATACATCAATTGCTGATTGTCCAGCAATATCGCAGCAACCTGTAAATAACCAAGATTGAACCAGACAATCCAGTGATCAATATTCTGAGCAGCGATCTACTTCATCAGGGTGCGGTGACTCCCCATACATTTCTCCTTTTAAAGCAGCACAGACAGCTGGTGACTATAGTCCGTTCGATTTCATTTGAGACCGATGAACTGCTCACTAACACAAAATCTAATAAATGCAACAAAACCAAATTTTGCACAGTCACATGAAATCGACAGACCAACTCTGATGATTTGTCTCATAATTTTGGACACCCAAGTAAAAAAGTTGTTTAACAAACGATTATTATTTTGTTGTCACTTTATGCTTTTTTTTGGAGGAAGACTTGCTGGTAGAACAGCCAGGTAATCAACAAGCGTGTACAGTGAAAGTTCAATTTCAGACGTGCAAGTCGCACACCTATCCCAGCAGCCCCTTGGGTGTTCACAAACACTGTACCTGTCTTTGTCGCACTCTGTCTGCCCAGGGATCATCTGATCTTCCACCTTGGCCAGTTGAACCTTCAGTTGACTGAGTTTCCGCCGTGCTTCATCGTACTGGAGACGGAGTCGTGTCTTCTCCGCAAAGATTCGATTCTGCTTCAAACCAAACTGAAATTGCATGATTTGTGAGAAATGCCACAACGTTATCTGACTTGGCTTACAGAAGTATTATACAGGACTCTTTGAGCTCATTCTAAATGCCATTGTTCAATGGCAAAATATTTAATTATTGACACAGTATTCATAATTTGTAGTGCTTCCCTAAATTCACTGCATTTTGAAGTTCCTTAGATACATCAACAAACACCTACTCTGAAGACACCCCCTGGTAACACACCCTGACTCACCTCTCCTCTCAGATCCGTTTGCGACGCCGTACTGGACCGCTCAGCCAGCGCCAACGAAAGTGTCGACACATCTGGTGAGGAGCCGCCATTCTTCCCAAGCATGAACTCCTCCTTCAGTCTGGCCAAGGACTGCAACAAGAAGGACAAACTGCATCACCATGTTACATTTGACGAGTTTCAAACTAAACCCATAAGCATTCCAATAATATATCAGTCCTAGTCATTTGTGACTGAGTGAGGCTTAATACAACTGTAGGCAACAAAGAAATAGCTTTGCTTGAATTCCCAAAACTGGATGGTGGGGAATCGAACTCAAGTCTTTGGCATGACAAGCAAATGCTTTACCCTATCGGCTATCCATTGAGCCATGTCATATAGATATCACTTTCTGAAACAAAGGTATGGAGATGTTTGCAGGCGATGTGAGTGAATGGGATAGCTTTGATCAGTATTTCAGTGTCTGGTTAAAGTTGGAGAAAATCCTGAAGTGATACGGATTTCAGACATTTACCAATGAGTGAGTGAGTTTAGTTTTACGCCGCACTCAGCAATATTCCAGCTATATGGCGGCGGTCTGTAAATAATCGAGTCTGACCAGACAATCCAGTGATCAACAGCATGAGCACCGATTTGCACAATTGGGAACCGATAACATGTGTCAACCAAGCCAGCGAGTCTGACCACCCGATCCCGTTAGTCGCCTCTTACGACAAGCATGGGTTACTGAAGGCTCATTCTAACCCAGACCTTCACGGGTCAGACATTTACCAATTGATGAAACCATGAGCACAGGTTAGGGCTGACAACCACGCTACACAATCATGTTACACCAAGATTCAAACCAACAATCGCGTTTCTGACCTTTCTAAGGGATACAACTCTGCACAGCAAATAATAGCACCATAGAAGACTGGGCCATCGGTGCCCATGGTTTAAATTGACCTTGGACAACCTTGGCATGAGACAAGCCACCCATAAGGATAAGTTGATGGTGTCAAATAACATAATGAAATTCATTTATCAACAGAAACTTCTCACATTACTTACATAAGAACACATAAAACAATTTCAAAGCTTTTATCAAAGTTCAAAACATCAAAAATATCATTTATTTTCGGCTCCTATGCTCAGTCTAATGTCTAAAACAGAGATTTCTCCATTCATGTTATTTTGTATGTTATCTACACGGTGCCTCCTACACCCCTCTCCTCCCACTGCAATCTTCAGCTGGTCGATAAATTCAATTAGAATGTCCCTAATTGGATCTACAACACTGAAGAAGTCTAGTTTCTGACAAACCACAATGAACAAACAGACGCAAACCTCTTTGAGACTACTGCAAAATTAAATCGTTAGCCACATTAGCTTATCAGGCTACAAGATACTTCCAGACAGACCCAATGCTGGATTTGCTGACATGAGATGGAGAGTTTTCAACCCAAAGCACAGAATTGACTGGACCAAAGTTGTTATTAACACTGGTGTGGAAAAGAAATGACTGTAGAAATATAGCTCACTCAAACCCACCCAAAAGGCTTCCCTGTCAAGTTCAATAGTTATCACAAAGGCTTGTGTCAATAGTCTTGGAAGTAAAACTACACTCACTCACTCACTCACCAAAACTCCTATCCAAAGATACATAGTTGTTACAAGTATGTTATTTGTGTCTTGAGGTAAAATGATACACGCTCACAGACTGAAACCAAGCCATTCGAATCACACACCCACAAGCAAATTCCCCATCTCTCACTCGCTAATATTTAACAAATGAAACATTTTGGCCTACAATTTACAGATATATGATAAAACAAAATACTAAGTCTTAAATGGCTGCATGGTTTAATATTACAATAACACCCTGCAAACTGAATTAACCTAAAACGTATTCACAACTTCATCAAGTCAAAAGATTTCACATTGAGATCTTCATTCTTCCAGATTACAAGTTTTATAATGTTGCAAGTTCCATATTCTTTCAGAAATCTAGTATCATCACTACAGCTCCCCTAAACATCAAACTAAAAACTTTTAAAAACCGTTGAAGAGAGACCGTGTTTATGTGACGTGGAAGAGTAGAGAGTTTATGGTTTATCTGCGAGTGTCGGGGTGCCGCACGACTTCCACCTACGCACTGTTGAAGGAGATAAGTACTACAGGTCTACAAGTGTTCCTCCCAGGATCCACAGTCATTCATAAAAACTAGCATTCACCATTCTGCCGACACAGCACATATCAAAGCACTGTATGAACGTAACATTACCACAACGTCTCCAATAAATGCTCAACCTTTTTCACATTAAACCCTTTCATTCATATTGCTCCACTTTTGACAGTGATATTTTTATCTTTCCATAATCCATTAGAGTGATCCTTCAGTGTCAAGTGCATATGTTAGCAGAATGGTATCTGATTATCCCTGTTATAAGTTGAGTAGTATATTAAGTTACCATTCTAAATGATAACAAGGTGATGCATTCTATTCATTATAATTGTTGATTTTTAATATGTGAAACCATTTAAGTCCATATTTTGCCTCTCTTGAATTAAATTTTCTCATTTTCAGAGCTACAGGTAACTTTTTGGGATATTGAGTTACATACTCACTTGTGTTCATCTCAATTGGGTATCCTAATTTTCCTTTGAGTAACCAAATAAATTGTACTCACCTCACTCAAACTTAATTGGGTATTTTGCCATTTTCCATTAAATTTGAAAATATAGTAAAGTTTAAATGTTAATGTTTGTTATTTATATTTGATCTGTAATAACGAGAAACGATAAGAAAGACTGCAAGTTGTCAAGTTCATGTCCTGAAATAGAACCTCTCAGTATACTTCAGTTATTTTATCTATCCACCGGTATGCAAACTAAGATTTGACATTTTTGTGTGTACGCATGTAAGATCACATTTATTGAGTATTTACAAAAATTCAAGCGTACTTGTACGCAATAGACTGAATAGAAATTGAGTTTTCACATAAATATTTGCATAATTTACGCAGATACGCAGCTTATCTGAGCATCTGCATTTTTCATCATGAACATTGCTTATAAAGAGTTAGTGAGTGAGTGAGTGAGTGAGTGAGTTTAAAACTGCTTTGAGCATCATTTCAGTTATATAGTGGCATACCAGGTTATTCTGGGAAACCCTGTAGTCATGCAAGTGATGGATGTTGACCACTTTGTTGAAACACTCAGGCACAGATTATACAAATCATAGGATTCTAGCATGACTAAGGGAGGCAACTGGAGGTCAGACCCACTGACTGGGTTGATTACCCCAATGTTCTACCATGACCAGAAGACCCCCAACTGCTCATGTCATGGATCTCTACAGGGTATATGAAAGCCCTGTAAAGTAATGAAATGGTGAAGTGTACTGAAATGTAAGATTTCTTAATTGTTTTAATTAATTTCTTGACACAAATTTGGTACAAAGAATATTATTGTGCATACTTAAGGAAAAACACTGGATGCTTTTTTCAGTGTGTCTTTTTCTCTGTCCAAAAAGTCAATCACTGGATTGTCTGTTCCACACTAAATTATTTATAGACTGCTGTCACATGGCAAGAATATAGCTGAGTTCAGCATCAGAAAAATCACTGCTGTAAATCTAGACCACAAAACAAGCTTGTGCTATTTATAATCACATATTCTTAATTCAGAGGACAGTCAAAATATGGAATATGTTATATTTATAAAATTAATTCATAAAACAATCATTACATATGCAAGTCATGACATGTTAAGATTTCTTAAATGATATTTATGCAAATCTGCATGTGTTGTACCAATGGAGTGTGACACTTGTGTGCTGGTATGAATGCATCTCTTCATCTCAAAGGACATCGTGCAAATCATTCACTGAAAAACGAACAATGAATATGTGTTCACAAAACACATAATTCACTGTGCCTGACAAGTACAGAAATCTCTCACGGTTACAGTTGTCATTCATTTTATCTCATCCGTACCATCATCTTCAACCTTCATACACAAACACATTTTATATTTCTCAGTTAGTGCTTCAGGGTTTAAGCAAGTCTGCAATTATCCTGATAGAGTGAGTGAGTGAGTTCACTTTTACTCCTTTTATAATTCCTGGTGCCATCCACTTCTAATTCCTCTAACCCATTACATCTCCCCTCCCCCTCAATACATCTCCCCCTCAATACATCTCCCCCTCATTACATCCCTTCCCTTCATTACATCTCCCCTCCCCTCAATACATCCCTCCATTACATCTCTCCTCCCCCTCAATACATCTCCCCCCCACATCCATTTTCCCCTATCTCCCCCCCACATCCCTTCCCCTTCATTACATCTCTCCCTCCCCTCAATACATCTCCCCCTCCCCACATCCCTTCCCCTTCATTTACATCTCCCTCCCTCAATACATCTCCCCCTCCCACATCCCTTCCCCTTCATTACATCTCTTCCTCCCCCCCTCAATACATCCCTCTCCCACATCCCCCCATTACATCTCCCCTCCCTCTCATTACATCCTTCCCTCCCATCCCACCCTCAATACATCTCCCCATCTCCCCTTCCCTCAATACATCATTCCCTTCCCCTCATTACATCTCCTCCCTCCCCTCTCATTACATTCCTTCTCATTACCCTTCCTCATTACATCTCCCCAATACATCTCCCCTTCCCCTCATTACATCTCCTCCCTCATTACATCTCCCCTCCCCTCATTACATCTCCCCTCACCCTCATTACATCTCCCCCTCCTTCATTACATCCCTTCTCCCCTCATTACATCTCCCTCCCCTCATTACATCTCCCCTCACCCCATTACATCTCCCCTCCTTCATAACATCCCTTCCCCTCATTACATCTCCCCCCTCCTCATTATATCTTCCCCTCCCATATAACATCCCTTCCCTCATTACATCTCCCCTCCCCTCATTACATCTCCCCTTCTCCTCATTACATCTTTTTTTTCCTCCCCTCATTACAACCACCTCTTATCCCCTTCATTTTCAAGGGTCCTTACAGGAAAATGAAGGTCCTGAAATAGTGTAGTGTACTGAAATTATTAAATCATTAAATAATTTCTTTGATTACACAAACTTCATATTTGTAACAAAATTGAAACAATGAATTTTATTGTGCATCTTTAAGAATGCAATATATATTTTCTCAGCGTCCATTCTGTCTTTGTGCATGAAACAATGCAACCATCTCTCCTCTCAGTCACATTGTACATGCTTCTCCATAAAAATCATCTCTCACTCACACACACACACACACACACACACACACACACACACACACACACACACACATAAATTATGAGCCGTTCCCAAGTCCAAATATACACATCCAATATGTATACGTTTTAAGGCTGTCTTTCAAATACCTAGGTAAAGTTGAAAACGTAATCACTCAAATTCTAAAACAATAGAATTATACAAATGATTCCGAAACATTGAATGTATGTTTTCAAGTTCTCAATCTGTCTATCATCCAGATAGCCAGTGAGATCTCCCCTATCATGGCAGCCACAAAGCGACAACCATAAGCCTGTTGCAAAGGAAATGGAGCTGACGAATTACAGCCAGTCTGACACCTTGTGTTAAAATGGCCAGCATAGCTAGGGAGTGACAAGAAAACTTGGAAGTTATTCCGTCAATGTAAATAAATATTGACAGGTAAATGTGCATGCATGCAGTGCACACAGGGCGCCGAGTTGCCCGGCACTGGCGAAGGGAGCTGTCCGCTGTATGGCTACACAACATTGCATCATGTAAGGCAGTTATGCCATCGATGAGTCACAGCATGTGTGTTCAACTGAATTCCATTCAAAACACAATTAATTATCTCTCGGTTAACAAGCCTGAGTGATGTTTGCTCAATACTCTTGACTGCTAATAGACCCTCTTCTAGCATCCTAACCCATCTTGTAGAAGCTTACACCGCCAGCATCCCTGTCCCTTCAAGGCATTGTGACCTATCACAGACTCTCCTGCAACTACCTACAACTCCATCACAGCTTCACCACTAAACCATCACACCCTAACACCCCTAACATTGTCCAGCCCTACACCCTCCTTGCCAAACCATCACCCCCAGCACCCTAACACCTCAAACCTCTTCCAACAGCACCCTAACACCTGTATGGTGATGACATTGTCCAGCCCTACACCCTCCTTGCCAACTAAACCATCACACCCCAGCCCTAACACCTGAACATCCACCCTCTTGCCAACTAAACCATCACACCTCAGCACCTGTTCCCCAGCACTAAACCTCACACCCCACCCTAACACCTGTATGGTGATAACATTGTCCAGCACCCTACACCCTCCAGCACCCACCAACTCAACCATCACACCTCTTCAAACCATGACAAACTAGCCATCACACCTTTTCCCAGCACCCTGACCACCAACTCAACCGCCATAGCATCCCTCAACCATCTTTTTTAGCATCCACTCTCAACCATCACACCTTTTTCCCTCAACCATCACACCTTTCCCAGCACACCCTCCCCACCAACTCAACCATCACATCTTCAAGCACCCAAACCATCACACCACTTAAGGAACCCTAACCATCACACCTTTTCCAGCACCCTACTCCCTTCCAACTGAACCATCACACCACTTTCAGCAATTCTGAACCCCACTTCCACACCCCACCTTCCCACCCCTAACCATTACATGTCCTCCAGACAACAAACCCCTCCTGCACCCCTCCACGTTACACCTCCTCAACACCCTACTCTACAGTAGCAATGGTAAGAGTCCTACATGTGGTACAAGCACCTGCAGATTAATCACACATAAGAGTCCCATTCACATTCCAGCATGACCCAGATCCCCCTGACCCAGCTCTTTACTCTCTACTGATGACAGGGGACACCCAGAGGTCTGTCCCTAGTCTGTCTCACAGTCCCTGAACCATATTATTTTCCCTACAGCCCTCCCTGTAATGCTAAAGCTCTAAATGAAGCAAGTCTAGATTTTCTCAGGTTCTGAATCTCTGGTCTCCCTGGGGCTCCTTTTCAATTTAAATGGGTTTATTTGTTACAATCAAAATCATATATATTCAGAGACTAACCACTAGTCTAATCTTTCCTTACAACAAACCTCTGTTTGGTTATGTAAATCTACAATAACATGGAGCATATAAATACTTTTTAATTACATTTCAATCACATACAGCAAACACCAAAACAAAACGTACCCTTCTGAACAGATTTATCTTCATGAACATAGAAGCATAATATCTTTAATATGAGTAATAAGTTTTTCTTGTATTCACTGACATGTATAGATAATCAAAGCTGCTGAATCACTGCAAATCTTTGTTGAATAGGTAAAACTTTGTCACATATATAAAAATACTGATACATATCCAAACTTTTAATATCAAATCTTGCCTAACATGCACCTCAGGGATGAGCAGACACATCATGCTTCATACTCCAGCATGAGATGAGATGATAAGACGGTGATACGCGATACTCTCCACCAAGGTACGTGTTTTGCATTACTTCGTGTTAGGCAAACTCCCACCATCCCTCGGTAACACAATATGTTTCAACTAATCGCCTCTAGCTTCTAATTTCTCCCCTTTCCTTTTTACCAATTGGCTGAAAATTCCAAGCATGCCATCGTATGCTCTGTACACAAGCAAGAAGATTTTGAAAAGATCTCGGAAGGATTGTAGGATGTGCAAAAACATGGCCGTCAGCAAGCTGATGAGTTCTGTTTTCCTCGTCAGAAGTGTTTGGAGGGAATATGATAACAACTGAGCTATGTAGAGGTGGTCAGTGTCGCACAAAGCCACAAATTACCTCCGATTTAGGTGAAGAAGACATGTAACCTTCAGTGACAAGCTATTCCGTATCCTTACATAAACAGAGTTCTTTCTATCTGGTCTCATGTAATGTTTCCTTACAGTTGCTTGCAGATTTGGTGATGATGCTATTGACATCATAGTTGTAGTACAGAGCATCAAGATATAAAGGATCCACAAAAATGAAAAGATTTTCATCTATTCAACAGTTCTTCTTTGGTTCACACAGAGTGTCACTTATGCCTGTCAGATTATACAGGGAGAAAGACCCAAGGTTTAAGTTGTTTACCATTTTAATGAGACACAAATATGAATGGATACATTTGTGCTGCTGGTGCCTGAGAACACCAAGATGTTGGGGACTGAACCTGGTCCATTATGATGCTGAGCCAACCCTTTACTACTAGTTTACCCCAACCTGACCTACTAAATAACGAATAAATATGATCTAGTATGTCACAATCCAAATCCTCAAAAGACACTGGATACTTAAGTGAGTGAGTGAGTTGTGTTTAATGCTACTTTGAAACGTATTTCACGTGTACATTAACAACAATGCAAATATGGTAGTGTGTGATCTTGTGCATCGAGCCAGGTCACAGATCAGTTGGTCAGAGAGAGTCCCTGGATGGGTGACCATGTTTGGCAGCTTGATTCCTGTTTCTAGGAATTTCAGTCCTGCCCCACAAAGAACATGTGACACAAGGGGTTCCACCTTTGGCAAATCAGTTTGTTCAACATTGCTTCTGTTAACCTAGCAGTGTATGGGTACCCGGTGGGATAAGATGGTCATATGACTGTTAACCTTGTGACATCCAACCATAATAATAATATGCATTTCATAAGATTTAAGACAAACTTTAACATGCATTCTCACAATTTTGATTGAACTACTGTTTGTTACCTGCATCAGGTCCATTTTCTCCTTCTCCCCTGTGTTGACATGTTGTTGCAACTGTCGGATCTCGGCGATGATGGCTTGGGCTTGCGTCACATTGTAACCTCCACCCAGTCCCGCCAACTTTTGGTCCACCCTGCACATACAACACATTACATTACTCTAGGATTGTCACAAGTCTATGTTCATTATAGTCATCTGTTTCAGAGTTTGTTGCTGAACACCACACTAAACGATATTCCAGCTTTACAATCATGTCTGGGGCAGACAATCCAGTGATTGAAACTGTAAGCTTCATGTACTAACCCCAACTGTCAATATGTAGATAATAGTAGAAGGTTCTCATCAAACTGCAAAGTGATGATTTATCCTTTGACACAGAACATATTACACATCAAAGACATACAAGACCAGGAAAACACCCCATTAAGAACATCAGACACCCTTTCAACCATGTTCACTCACAATGACTTAGTCACACCAAGTCTTTTCCACTACAAATGAGAGTGATTGAGTTGGGTGTTACTCCACTTTTCAGCAATATTACGGCTGGGGACACCAAGAATGGGCTTCATACATTGTCTGACTGACTGACTGACTGAGTTTAGTTTTACGCCGCTTTTAGCAATATTCCAGCAATATCACAGTGGGGGACACCAGAAAATGGGCTTAACACATTGTGCCCATGTGCGGAATCGAACCCAGGCCTTCGGGGTGATGAGTGAACGCTAGAACCACTAGGCCTACACTCCTAAAGAGAAGTTACTGAACATCTGATATTTCCATAGGTGTACAGTTAATACATCATGGCAGGTGGGTATTTCAACTTAAGTCTTCCAGTTGTGGTGTTTTTGAGTGACATGTATACCTTTCTTTAGATTGCAAACACCTTGTAACACATTTCTGGAATTTCAGTCAGCACATGAAAAATGAGAACCTCTGAAATATTACTAAAGCCAGTGGCATTACTCTTCTACATTACCTTCTTAAGAATCAAGGACAGCTATGACACACAGGAAGTGAATCTTCCCGCACAGTATACCATAATGTCATGTCTTCCAACTAAATGCCTACGTTTCAACAGGTAATACAAGAGCCAATACAAGCACCACAACAACAGCCAATACAAATATTCAATACAACCATCTTATAACAACACATAACAGGGTTATCTTTGATTTAGAGTGGGTGAGTGAGTTTAGTTTTACGCAGCACTCAGCAATATTCCAGCTATATGGCAGCGGTCTGTAAATAATCGAGTCTGGACCAGACAATCCAGTGATCAACAGCATGAGCATCGATCTGCGCAATTGGGAACCGATGACGTGTCAACCAAGTCAGCGAGCCTGACCACCCGAGCCCGTTAGTCGCCTCTTACGACAAGCATAGTCGCCTTTTGTGGCAAGCATGGGTTGCTGAAGACCTATTCTACCCCGGATCTTCACGGGTCTCTTTGATTTAGAAATAACTGCCCTTGGCAAGTAAATTGGGAAAAAGCTGCCAGTTCGTTCAAAACAGGTATTGTCAAAGCTGTTATTTTCATAACTTCAAAAGTATTTGTGCAAACACAAAAACTTTGCATTAAACCCCTTCCACTTTCTTGGTCTGGCTAACAGTGAAATACAAGCCACCCTTAGTTTTAACTTAACCCTTTCAACACCGCGGGCCGCTTTAGGCGGCCACAACGATTATGAGTCCCCAGACACTGGAGGCCGCTTTAAAGCGGCCAGGCAGTGGTCACGCCAAAATGAGACATAATTTTAGGAACTTACCTGACTTATGATTCATATATTAAATCCATCACATTTCACAATGTCTGGAAACACTTATTTAATTTCAATTGATCATATATTATCGGCAGAATTAAAATTATAAACTATTTTTCGCGAATGTAATTGAAAACAACGATTCTCGGACACATGCTTCGGGAGCTGGTCCACAATAACATTGTCAAAGAGCAAAGTAACGATGTTTCGAGGAAATGATTAAATAAATAGAATAAACTAATGAATAAAATCAACAACAGCATTCATAAAAGTTGTCAAACGCACATATAAAATTACTTTTCCATCTTTTGTGCGATCATGTAATGCAAGTCAAATCACTGACAAGTGACATCTCGCTCTCATTAAGCCTCAATCTTCATTTCGGACACGATGTTTAATGCGAAAATATATGCATGAAGCATTTTGTCACAGGTCATAACCTAGCACGACACGTGCAATAAGTCCATTAATTTTATGAATATGTAGCGATTTCTTGCTTAATATGTACAGAATAGCATTATTTTACCCAAAACTTTCGCCTAAAGTTTTGGGGTTTTCGCTTCTGAGGATGTATCCATTGCCGTAATATGATTGGCTGCCTTAGGTCCGCGGTCTGATTTTGACCAATCACGACCCTTATAGCAGACTGTAGCGAAAAAGCGTCATTAGAAACCAATTTGTATCCAATAAAATCGCTTCTTACAACTGTGAAAATACTCGGCAAGGGTTCAGTGATGTTGTTGATGTTCAGAGCTTCGAACGATACCCGGCATCAAGCGATTAAGCCTCCCATGTTATTCATCTGAAGCTCGAAAGCGGAGGTATTTTCTGTTGTTATGTCATGTTACCGGCGGAAAGCCACAGATATCGGGGAAATAGGCTGACCATACATATTATTTAAGAAATCTTTTATAATAATTTTCTGATTACGTAAAAGTGAAAATATAAAAGAAAAAGGCACGGGCATGTTATGACATGTCACAAATGGAAAAAATCGCCTTAGTTTTGTAGTTGTATTATTTGAATTATATTATAAATATAAACTTCATATTTATCAACAGTAGGATTAGATCTTTTAAATGGTGTATGGGATGTAGTAGCAATAACGTCTTACAAGCATATACTGAAAATCATGGAATATTTAACTTGAAATTTGTTGGAGATTTGGGCATGTGTATCAACCTCTGCATATGTATACTGACAGGTTTCATTTCAGTAAGTCAAACACAAAGACATATTTCCAAGGACAGGGTAAAATATTCCTGCCGCTGGTCTATCCTCCCTTTTGGACCCTCACTTGACATTCCTTCTACCTCCCTGAGTAAGCCCCCACATTCCGCCTGTTACGGCCATGGTTTATTATGACAGATAGTATGATGTAAGAAATACAGGCAATGCTTATATCGGCCTAATGTTTCCCCTTTCTTCTCCTTAATGGGAGCAGCTTCCTGTGGCCAAATACCTCCTGTCTCTTTGGCTCAAAATGTACATTTGGAATCCTGGCATACATATAACTTTCTATTTAAATGTCTAACTGTATGTGATAACCACACATCTACCTCCCCACAGCAAAGTATCTTCCATAAAATAGGTGTTGAATAGGGCTGGACAGAGTGTGGGTCACGGTGAAAAACAGCTTCTGTTTTAAGTACAGAGAATAAGTGGGTGACAGGGTCACCAATACCTCATATTCCATCCTGCCCATGAGTGAGGGAGTGAGTATGGTTTTACGCCGCCTTTAGCAATATTCCAGCAATATCACGGTGTGGAACACAGATATGGCTTCAAACATTGTACCCATGTGGAAAATTAAACCTGGATCTTTAGCGCGACAAGTGGATGCTTTAACTATTAGGCTACCCTACTGAGGAGTTGAGGTGAGGTGAGGTGAGTTTGGGTTTACGTCGGCTGTGAGAATATATTCGGCAGGAATATCACGTGTGGCTGCTTGTACTAGCCCAGAAAGCTGGTTTTATAGTGCTACATGAGATACCATGCCATGTGCATGAATACCCCACTCAGACACATTATACTGATCGAACCAGTCCTTGTTGTACTCCATTAATGCCAGTAGAGCGCCATGCATTGGGACCAACAAGTACCATATGTATGTGTGTACGCGGCTTTAACCACTGAACCAGGCTACGCCTAACCACTACACCACGGAGGCGGTTTACTGAGGATTTGAGGCAGAACAAAGCAGTGAGTGATAGCTCAACAACATTCCACTATGTTGTAGGTTGACACCTTTGCCAAACACTGGGAACTTACTGATCAGCAATATTGTAAAGACTCACAAGCAGCCTGATAAAATCTTATTCAAGTCCAAAGAATGCTTCTCATTCTGCCAACACAATTTTTGAATGTTTATCAATTAACCTTAATTAAACTGAGACAATATTTTATTACAGTAACACTTACAACATCAAGACTAGGAAACAGACACCAGACTGAGCAAAATATCCCCTTAAATAGCCTCAACATTTACACTTGTGTGTGTAACACTCACTGGCCTTGGACATTAACTGGGTCAGTGTATGATGCCCCTTTAAATGTGTGAGTGAGTTTAGTTTTACGCCGTACTCAGCAATATTCCAGCTATATGGCGGCGGTCTGTAAATAGTCGAGTCTGGACCAGACAATCCAGTGATCAACAGTGATCATGAGCATCGATCGATCTGAGTAAATTGGGAACTGATGACATATGACAACCAAGTCAGCGAGCCTGACCACCCGATCCCGTTAGTCGCCTCTTACGACAAGCATGGGTTGCTGAAGACCAGTCCTAGCCTGGATCTTCACGGGTGTCTCCCACTGGAGTACCTGGTTCGTTTGGGTTACTGAAGGCACATTCGAACCCGGACCTTCACGGGTTGTCCCTTAAAGGTGACTGTACCCAGTGTTATATCATGAAGCATAGTACCCCTTTAAAGATGACTGCACTGTTTCATAACAGCATTTTGCCTTTAAAAATGACAGCATTCAGTATTTAATGTCAGCATCATGTGCCTTCAAGCATGCACTAGTGCGTGGATATGTGCCTTCAAACACATTTGCAGTGTCTTATAACTGCATTGTGCCCCTTTAAAAGTGATTGCACTCAGCATTTTAAAGCAAATATAATGCTCACTTGAAAGCAACTGCAGCCTGTGTTTTCGTAACTTAAAGCTGAATGTTGTCAATACCTGTATGCAATCAACAATACATTGTTTTGTGCAGGGACAGAATACCTGTGTCCCTAAAATAACGAGGTCAGTCCCCCTGTGAAGAGGCAAGCAACAGGACAGGTAACACCGAGGAATTTAGCCTCCCGGATAACAATAGAGCCATTCTGCCATCTCTGCTAAGAGGGAAGACACAAAACAAAATGTCAGGATAAAATAACACGTCCATCAACTGGGAGACGTTTGGCTCAGATTTTCCTCTTCAGATATGTAAATAACAATTGTGAGGTAAAATATTTCCATTTCACTCGACGCAGCACTAAAAAATGTTACTTTTCAATTTCAACAATTAACAATAAGTTTTCATATTTATTTTTCAGTTAAGAAAGACAAAGACACAAGATAAACCTGACCAACAGATGACAAAAAGGTGAAGTTAATACCATACTCCAGGACCATGTTAGGTTACAAAATGTAGGACCGCCTCCGTGGTGTAGTGGTTAGAGCGTCCGCCACGGAGAGCGGAAGGTCGCGGGTTTGATCCCCGACCGCGTCATACCAAAAGACGTTAAAATATGGTACTTGTTGGTACCTGCCTGGCGCTCGGCATTAATGGGTACAACAAGGACTGGTCGGCTCGGAGTCAGTATAATGTGTCTGAGTGGGGTATTCATGCTTCACTGCGGCATGGTATCTCAGTGGGCTAGCACTATAAAACCAGCTTCAGTCTGGGCTAGTACAAGCAGCCACACATACACATACACAGGCATGCACGTCGTCATATGAGCGAAATATTCTCAAGCACGACGTTAAACCCAATTTCACCTCACCTCACCTACAAAATGTAGGCATGATGTGACAGAACATCCCGAAGTGATGCAGGTCTCTACTGAGCATACTTTCAATACTTTCAAAAATAATCCAGCAATATAACCAGGAGGGACATCAAAAAGGACTTCACATAATGTACCCAAAGTGGAAAATTAAACACAAACCTTCTGCATGACAAGTGAATGCTATAAAAACTAGCCTACACCGCCACCTGAGGCCTTAGACACTATCAACATTGGTAACAACTTTGGTAACAACCCTGAATGTACTGATCTGGAGCTGACAAACCAAGAATCATAATCAAGACACACTGGAAGTCAAACCATGAGTTTAGGTTCCTGAAACGCCAAGGGGAAGCAACTCTGCACAGCAAATTGTGCCTAGACACCTGGGTAACCCAGGCTTATGCATTGACTTTTGAAATACAGAACAAATTCATTTTCACCTAATTTAAACAATTCATTAATTTCAAAATTCCAACATAACCAATGTCAGAATAACAGTATGGACAAACTACTCAACTTCAGTAAGAGCCACAGCACTGACGCCAAACAGCTGAATGGCAATAGGTGCTTTAGATTAATTGATATTCCTCCTATTTTGGGCTTATCTTCGTATTGTTTTATTTTCACTTAAGTTTTATCACAATAGCCAGATACCTGTCTCGTAACTGTGTGCACTTCACAAGTCTACATAGACAAAGCTTATCCAGTCATCCAGACTGATATTTGGAGCCTGTTCTCAACACAAGCCAAGATCACCCACAATGCAATGTCTGACTTTGTGCCAAATCGTGATGTTCCCACCAGAACAATTAGCAACAAGACGCAATGATAGAGAGCGCCCGAAGCCATCTCCTCTCACAGATGAACTGTGGGTAATTAAAGCTTGATCTTTAGCTTGTACCGGCTCCTTGTATATAATGTTAATTTATGAAGGCATGTTCAACTCGGAAGGAATTACGTGAGTCTTACATTGTTGAGTGAATCCAGTATACAGCCTAATGACGCCTGTTAGGACATACATGATGAGTAATGTGTTCAGTCATTACAAGAATTTCACCATGGTTAGCCAGTGCATGGCATCCGTACTGCCCTATATTTCAAGTGTCTACACACCAGAAGTTGCAGGATCAACAGTCCAAGTTCACTGCTGTTTCCTTGCAGGATCTTAACCTCAGAAAGTTCAATCAACAACATATATGTTCAGTAAACTGTTTGTAAAATTAACCTGGAGCCACTTAGGTTTAAAGTTAAATTAAGAAGATATTTGGTGATGCTTTTCACTCAAATTTAACAGGAGCCACTTAGGATTTTGTGTTAGATTGTGAATATTTAGTGATGCTTTCCACATACCATATCACCTTACAAATAAATGTTGGAATGGCAATGTTGCAAACTGAAGAGGTATCAATCAGCCATTTTGTGAGTTTGCCTGCTCCTTCTACCATACTTGTTTGCCCATTAAGATCTGCTGTTAAACCTGATACGGTGTGTTGGTGCCTCCATTTACTCAACAGTGAACCATAGCTCCGTTTCAGCTAGTCACAAACAGCCCTTGACTGTGGAGCTGGGTGACAGGGTTGATGGTTTAACATCAAACCAAACAGTATGGGATATAATGCAAAATGTCACCCATTGACGTAAATGGTCCAGACTCAACTATTCGCAAGCCACATTTACTAAGCTGGAATACTGATAGTCCAGTGTATTATGTATGATGCAACTTTTCATTCAGAAATAAAGGATATCTGTAGATATTTGTACTGATTGAAAACATAGACCTTAATCAGTATATCTATTTTTCAATTTTATAACTGCCTCTTTAGCAAGTGGGATCTCAAGGCTGGCTGACTCATACCCAAGATGAGTTATACAGTAGCAAGTTACTATCACTAAAGTCAGTTATCTCCCTTTCTGACACTGACCTTGGCCTTCAACATGACTTGCAAAACAGACTAGGATTTAACAGACAGTAATTAGGCCCTATCAGCCACAGGGGACATATATAATCAACTCTGGATCAGTAAAACTATTATTAAGTGATATAAAACACCAAAGAAACAAAAAAAGGAATTAAGCCCCTTCGTTTGAGTGAGTTGCAAACAGAATTTCAGACATATTGCAGCTAAAAGATGCGGCAGGAAGCCCATCATGATGCTTAAAGTTCTCGTTTCCAATGTCGAACACATGAACATTTACAGTTTGGGCAAATTACGTTATTGTCTTTTCTCATAAAAGACTGCATCATTTTTCAGTTTTCAGCACATGATGAAATTGACAATAAATCATTGACTGACATAAGACAAGAACAAGCCCGGGCCCTGTTTCACAAAGACATCGTAGTGTTACGACTGTCGTAACTCCTATACTGTAATACAGACTTACGACAGTCGTAGCGCTGCGATAGCTTTGAGAAACGGGGCCCTGAGTGGTAACTTAGGTAACGTGAACATCAAGAGTTATCTCACCTTGTTAGTGTCTCCACTCCTCTCTCCTTGTACTGCATTTCAGCCCGAATCTGTTCAAGTTCATTTTTGAGTCGAGCGACACTTTTCCGTGCCAGGCAAATGTCAGACTTGAGGAGGTCAGGGTCATACTTTGTACTGCCCACGCTGGAGTTGGAATTTACTGGAGAAAAAAGAAATCAATATTAAGTGAAGAACGATTTTGTCAGCAATATTCAATAAAACACTTTTATCATATAAAGGCTTGAAATTGCAATACAATAAACCGATCCTAATACGTTTGGTATCATATTACGATATGCAAATGAGCTGTTTTGTCAGTGATATTTCATGGTGATATGCCATTTTCTCAATGAATTAATGAGTAATGGTTCCAATATGCTCAGACAGGGGTTCCCAACGAGTCAGTGAAGCATGGCACTAAGCACAGCTGCAATTCATGTCACACTATATAAGTCAGGCGATTGACAGAAAAACTGCATTAATGCATAGTTTCCACAGCAGCTTTAGTGAGTGAAATTACGTCTTAAACCTTCATTGTCAGTTCCCATATCGCAAATACCAAACATTAGGAACAGAAAATATTCATTATGCAAGTGGCACTCATGACACAATTTTTATTCTTAATATATTACATTTACACACAGACACACCTGGCTTATAAGCCCTATTTATTACAACAGACTTTTATTAATCAAATGATGACCAGAGCGTCCATGAGGTCATGGCATGGACTGAAATGGATTTGTTTTCATTTGCCATGGGGCATTCATCCACTCACTGCTCACAACCAGCTTACAAACATAGGTTTAAGAACATAATTATATTTTTTTTTAAATAATTGAGTGAGTATGGTTTTATACCGCTTTTAGCAATATTCCCACTCCCACGGCAGGGGACACCAGAAATGGACTTCACAAATAGTACCCATGTGGGGAATAGTGTTGGGAATTGGTTAAAATCCAATAATTGATGATTGGTCCATTACAACCGATCAATCATCGAAAATAATTGGTTAGCGTCATTTATCAAATGTTCCTGTTATTTTTGTTAATGCACACAAAAATAAAGAAAAAACATGTAGTAATTTGGGTTTTTTGCAAATTGCATAAAGTCCATTTGCAAATTTTGCATATTTAAATGATGATTAGTATGTTAGGAACACATATTTCCTGGATTCTTTAAGATAAATTCAATCATGACTTGGAACGAGCTTGTACATGTAGTGCTTATGAAATGTAAATTTAATGACACAGACAAAACCAGCCTTGTGAAAAATATTGTTAATGCAAACAAGTGTTCCAAGATTGGTCGTGTTCGATTATGAGAAAACATGTTCGATTGCTTGGTCGTTTAGTCACTGCGACCAATCTTCGATTATTTCAATTAATCGGACCACCACTAGTGGGGAATCAAACTCAGGCCCTCGGCATGACAAACCAATGCTTTAACCATTTGGCTACCCCATTGCCCCTCCAAAATATAGCAGCCTCATAGCTGGAAAACTGCTGAGTGCGGCGTAAAACTAACCTAAACTAAAACTCCAAAATATAGATGAGACACAAATTCACGTTTGATTCAACTTAGCCACAATTTTTTCTCATGTAATTACCAAGAAGATCCTGATGAAGTTGTTAGTGAACAAGAACACACAGCCACCTAGCCATTAATCTCCCCTGAAAGCTGACGCTGCTTTCAATAGACTTGCCACTGTTACACCAGTCTGCCATTTAGGCAGGTAAGAGCTTATAGTGGCAGTGGAAGCCCATCTACCTGGCACACTCCTGCCTAAATAGACTACTTTGCGATACACTGGTCAAGAATGTAGCCCTTATCTGCTCAACTAGTCTCCATAAGCCAGGGGAGAATACTGTTTTGTTTCACATTTTCAACCTCACAAGAAGATAGACTTCTACGTGCCAAATATCCAGACAAGTGCAAGTCAGTAATGTCTGGTAGTATTTGTAATATTTACATATATGTTTTCACTGTACAATAGGGCCTGTTTAAATGGGGAGAAACCACTGTAGTGGATTTATGAAAAAGGAAGGGAATTAGAAGAAGGGGAGGGGGGAATGGGTATCAGCAGATGAAAGGAGGGGAGGGGGTAGTTGGAGAAAAAGAGTCAAAGAGTCCAAAGAACGGAGGGGAAGGGGGATGAGAGTAAGAAGATGAGGGCAGAGGAGAAAGAGTCAGAAGAGTGAGTGAGTTTAGTTTTATGTCACTTCTAGCAATATTCCAGCAATATCAGGGCAGGGAACACCAGAAATGGGCTTCACACATTGTACCCATGTGGAGAACCGAACTCGGGTCTTCAACATGATGAGCAAACACTTTACCCAATAGGCTATCCCACCGTCCTAAAAGTCGGAAGAGGGGAAGGGATGAAGAGTTGGAAGATGATGGGAAGGGGAAGGAGTCAGAAGATGAGAGGGGAAGGAAAAAGAATTGGAGATGGGACATTGGGAGAAGTGGTAGAGGGCATTCAGAATAAGTGGACCGCCTCCGTGGTGTAGTGGTTAGAGAGTTAGACGTTAAAATATGGTACTTGTTGGTCCCTGTCTGGCGCGCTCGGCATTAATGGGTACAACAAGGACTGGTCGGCTCGGAGTCAGTATAATGTGTCCGAGTGGGGTATTCATGCTATCTCAGTGGGCTAGCACTATAAAACCAGCTTCAGTCTGGGCTAGTACAAGCAGCCGCACATACACATACACACGCATGCACGTCGTCATATGAGCGAAATATTCTCAAGCACGACGTTAAACCCAATTTCACGTGGTTGATATAGTGTTTATTACGCCACTCTCCCTTCCCTTCCAACAACAATACAGTAAGCTGGACCAAGGACACCAGTGACCGACAGCATGAAATCCTCAAGGTTACACACTGCGTCCACCAATGTCAGTGAACTCTTACATCAAGCAAGGGGACCCATTCAGGGCCTGTACAACCAGGAAACAGTGAACGTGTACTATCACATTTCAATGCTGCTGTGTTTGCACTTAGCAAGGCAGACAGTACATTCTAGCACTGCTTCATGGTATGTGTGCTGTAGTCGACACATCTCACTATGTCCCCCTTCACTCAGACCTCCCACTCACAAAGTCACAGCACCCACAGTGACAAATTCCACATGCTTCCTCAAAAGGCTCGGAAATGACTTCCAAGATATTGATCGTCCTTATCAAAACAAAGAGCCAAAATACCTAGCTGGATTCTTTCAAGTTTTAATATCTGTACCAGAGTCAAATTCCTAATATCAAACCCTCAAATCTGATCCTTAACCATGTATTTGAATGCAAATCTCAAATTAAGCATCTATGATTTTCACCACTAAATGCTAAGGGGCTAAAGAGCAACATAACATATTTCTCAAAAAACTAAAATTTCAACACATGCTCAGGTATCCTCCTTAAAAGACTCAAAAGATAATGTTTAAACACATGTTATTCATCACTTGAACATAATAATCTTTCCTATTTAGAGATTCCAACAGCCATTTATCCCTTAGTCCCTAAGAGCAATTTTCAGAGAAAGCGTTCAACCTAACATTTCAAAGCCTGCCGAGCAATTGAGAAATCGGAAGAGGCTTGTCGCAATTATGTGGAATGTATGCAATTAAGCGGGCATTGTAGTGTCAGTATCCTGATTGGCTGTCCTGAAGGACTAGACCCTCTTAGATAGGTCAGCTAGCGCCAACATCAAAAACCTTGTACAAAGATGGGATCAGTTGCAGATCTCAATTCAGTACTATTACATGAAATTCAAAAATAAAAGCACTGACAAATATACTTTACATTTTTAATTTAAGTGAAATTAGCAACTAAAAAACTCATTATCAATCTGATATATTTTTTAACACAATTCTTGTGAAATGTTTTGTTAAAATACAAAAATATATAAAATCGGTCTGTCCTTTGTCTATTAAATTCTTTTATTCACAGACATTTATTTAGCCAAATTGAAAACATAAATAAAACAAAGATGTTTTTTCATTTCAACCAACAAAATAATTATGTAACTAAAAAAATACTAACAAATTCAATTTTTCACTATTTCAATCAACAAAATAACTGTAACTAATTAAGAATCACCATAATTACTTTAAGAATCCAAATCCAACATCATCGATGCCAATAACTTGAGTGTATGAATATTCATTCATTAGACTTCAATCATCTCCCACAACATAAATTCTTAAGGCAAAATATCTTTGTGTTGGAATAGACCACGCGTGGTGATTCTGCAGTTCCGTCATGGTATTTAAGTCTTAAGACAGTAGTCATTAATTATCCACAGAAGCTGTAGTGATATGTGGTGCAACACAATGGCAATGGGAATGAATCGCCCAGCAGTGCTACAATAGAGATGAGAGAGTGGAGGGAGACCCAGTGTCATACAGTCTAACAGACTGTTACCTTTAACACTGTTTGAATAATGCAGGCCTTACATCTGGACAAACAATTTCAGGAAATATTTGCAAAAACTTAACAAAAAGAAAGGTTTTCATTCACTTTAATTGTTTGGTTCCTCCTTGAACTTAAGACCCTCTTGAATTATAAACATGCATGAATTATGTTTCTGTCCCTTACAGAGAATAATGCATTTTCAGAATCTCTTTCACCCCAAAGGATACTGTTATTCATTAACAAGCTATTATTTTCATGGTAGAATAATTGCATGTTCAAATTAGGCAAGACCTGATGACAATCACTAGCAACTGTATGGCTGGTGTAAAAGTGGGAAACATGCAGGCAGAAAGTCTCCTTCGTCCCTAACACAGTGGCCCAACCAGTTGATGATCTGGTGCCTATTTTTATAATGTATAGTTGTGTATAATATCATTAACAGTTGCATAATAGATCTAAATAGAATTTTATGATACTATAGCTGTTTTACTGTCCTCTGTCAACAGGTTATGCATTATTCTTTCAATGTAGAACTTGTTTTAGTCACTTTTTTGGCGGAAATACTGATGTAACTTACAATTTTATCTACTTGCTGAATTAGACTGTAAACTTTATATGGTGACATCAAGTGTTGCTCATAACCATTTGGAAATATGGACTTAAAAACCCAACCAACCTCATCAAAAATTATGATTTACCCAAGTGGATTCCAAGTTAAAACTGTTTCCTAGCAACCAATACCGGTCATAACACACAGAAAACAAAATAAAACTTGCATAACAAACACTGTTTCATTAACATTCTGCCCCTGGGTATTTTTCTCCAACACAGTCTCAAGCTAAAACTACAGCATTACAAAATCAAAACTGGGAGAATTTTCTCTGAGCGTATTTGTCCTAACAATTATCTCCCTACAACAGCTGGAGCCAGCAACTCACAATCCTCCTCTGGGCAACAATATCAGGAAATCCAATAATCTTGCATTAAGACAAATTCTGATTTTGTTCTACAGAACAGGTGGCATTGTGCCTGAATATGCCACCTGGCCTATACTACGCTCCACAGCTAATAATAAGGCTTATGGAACCATACCAGACTGCAATAACATAACGTTATTACATCGATTGAGCAATATAGTTAATTACATGACAAACAGGTGTTCTTGACAGATATTTCGATTTTTAAAAATTATTGCTTTTATAAATTACTTGACAAGCAGGTTAAAACTGTATCCCTAGAAGCATATTATTATTGAAAACATGCAATTCTTGATTTCGATTTTTTAAATTATCACTTTTATAAATTACTTTACCAGCAGTTAAAACTGTTTCCCTAGAAGTATATTATTATTATTGAAAACATAATAACATTCTTGATTGTGAGTCTCAAACCTGCATTTCTCAAATAGCCAAGTTCCATAGAAAAGGGGGAATTGGGTTTGTTTTTAAAAAAGACAACTTAACCACGGTCAACCTTGACCCAAAAATGTTTGGCAAACTGCAGCAAGAATGTACATGTGGCAGAAGATATCATCAGCTCACTCACTCACACACTCTATCTTATACAGACGTGCACATAAAATGTTAATCCCAAATAATTAACCATTCAGACCAGGCAATTACTAAGCAATGCATTGCATCTTGTGAGACTTATCTGATTAATAACATTTTTAGCAGACTTGGCTTCTTAAACCCTTTGGTCTCATTACAGCTGCCCAATATTAATGAATCCAAGAATATAAATCCCCGACTAGCCAACAGTAGGATATAAATACCCACAAAAGTAATGCCAGAGCTTAAGCCTGCTCGGCCACCCAGCCCCCGAAGCAACTGACTGCCAGAAGAATTGGCCTCTGAGAACTATGGTAAACCAAGCGAAAATATGTTTTTTCATCCATTAGCACATTCCAGTAATAGTCGAGATAGCAGTAGCATCTTTCCATTAACCCTCCTGCCTCTGACCCAACACTCACTTCCAACAAACACTACAGGGGTTATCAGCGCTGAGATATGTGTAGGACTTGCTTCATAACAGTATCATCTCAATGGGTCTTTTCACCATTTAATGTGTGTTGGGAAAACCTCCTTGTAGTTAAAGAGAGGTAAAGACGCGACACTGCTAGAGTTAAAGTGATTGGATATATCAGTGCTCAATAAACAGTCTGACACTTCCTACACAAAGATAAGAGCTTCTCAGGGAAACAGTATGTAGACTTTGTTGTGTTGGGGATCGTAAACGTGAGTGAGTGAGTGAGTTTGGTTAAACTCTGACTTGAACAATATCATGCCATGTCTGTGGGTGAGCACTTACACAATACTTCAGTTATATCATAGCATTACAGCGAGTTTAGTTCAGCACCTCCTTAAACAATACTTCTGTTATATCATAGCATTACAGTGAGTTTAGTTCAGCACCTCCTTAAACAATACTTCAGTTATGTCACAGGATGTCTGCTTCATTTATTTGTTACTTATTACCTTTGGGGTGGGGGGTATTTGTTGCTTTACATCACATTCTGCAACATCCCAGGTATATGACCTTGACCTATAATGAACCAATCTGGACCAGACAATCCAGTGACTGATACAGTGAACACCGATCCATGGCATCGTTCTATGATGACACCAACCAACAAGTCTCTGACACTGACAACCTGATCCATTGCTTGAACCTCATGACCAGCATAGGCTGCTGGGGGCATATTCCTCATTTACTATTTCATTTTGGAGGGGTAAGCATGAAATGAACAAAACCAGTTTTAAGTTGGCATTAAAAGAGTCTGAAAAAAGGTGTGCAACTAGTGAATAACCTGTTTGTATCCGGCAGCATTTTCCATGAAACACCTGACAAGCAGTACGGTGCATACAGACTACGGACCTTGATCAGGGTAAATCTGAGATTCAAACCCATGACATAGTGTGATGCCCTGTTCCATAAAGCCATCTGGGCACTATGACTCTCTTATGCCAAGTTAAAGTACAATCACCCAACACTATGACAGTCTTCTGGACCCAGAACCCAAACATATGGCAACATCTGAAGACTGACTGACTGAGTTTGGTTTTACGCCGCTTTTAGCAATATTCCAGCAGCATCACGGCGGGGGACACCAGAAATGGGCTTCACACAATGTACCCATGTGGGGATTCAAACCCGGGTCTTCGGCGTGACGAGACAACGCTTTGACCAATAGGCTACACCACCGCCCGGCAACATCTGAAGATGTTCAAAAGCTGTTCAACACTAGTTGTACAACTCAGTATGCATGGTACTCTTAGGTAGAGGGCAAGAAGCCAAAAAAGAATCACTGTTCCTTAGAATCCCAGCACTTCGGAAAACTTAGAAACTTAGAAAAAAAAATTTCACATCCACAAAAAATCGTCACTAAAAGGAAAGTTGATTGTACAATTCCAACAATATCCTTACTTACAATCAAACAGTCATGATGCCAGGTGTTCACACAAAAAATGAGCGTATCCCCACTAGATAAACAATATTTTTTATAGAAAAAAGAAGACATCACAGACTGAGCTATAATGAACATCAGAAACAACAAGGCTAATTTCCATGTCCATTATGGTGGCAGAGACAACATCCTGAAGATACTGATGCCTCAGACCTCCCATTACCTTGTCTTTCCATCACAAGGAACAAGCACCTGATGACTATGATCCCTTGTTAAAGAAGTTAGGATCTTACAGCACTGATACCAGTTTGGCTGACAAGAAATGGCAACTCCCCATGACAGGATACTGTTGGAGCCTCACAGAAAGTCTACCAGTGAGGGGATTCCCTGCATAGCTGACCACATTTCTCCTGTCCAGCAGTATCTGGTCTGACCAACACAGAACGCCATCCATCACTGGCGGCTACAAGAATGTGCAACATAAGACCGAAATAGAAACCCCTTGTTTCTCTCCATGTATCATGTGGCTTGTTGACCTTATTATAGTCAGACATAATTTAGGTGTATTCTGGAGTAGGGAATACTCGACATGGAAATGAAAAGTACAATAATGCTGTTTTTAGTCATATGTGAAGTTTACCGGCACTGGTTTGAAGAACAATGTTTAGCTCGTTTCAGGATGGTGTTGACTGCCATAGAGATTAGTCTAACACTTCTACCTCCCACTTCAGTTTGGCAAAGCTTGGATGTCATAATTAAAGAGACAGTTTCCTCATTAAACACAGCATGCTAAACAGGCAGTCTAGACAGACACCTGTTAAAGACAACACGCAATAGCAGCAAACATGGATGGAAACTCACACTTATCCTCTACCCAAGTGAAAAGGTGAACATTTCCTGGACAAAGAAATCACAGTCTCTTTGGGGCGATTTCCTTACATTACATGTCTCCCAAGCCTAGAAAATACTTCGGGATGATGTCTAATGATGAATGAGCTCATCTCTAGTCTTGAAATAATATTTTTGAAAAAAAATAATAATTAAGAAAGATATGAATCACCTTTCCATGTAAGTAAGACAAAACATGTTTTTATAATTATTTTTTAGGAAATTCTTCACTTTTAAGTTGATAACCAGAGAATGAAGCCGATAACTGCTGGGCAGATACATAGGAACTGTTAATACTCTTCCTCTGGTATTGCTCTGCAGAAACATAGGGACTGTTAATACCCTGTAACTTGGGCGATGCTGCTTCTGTTTTCCTTCGTTACTTCAAAGTATTTATAGCCTGGTGTAATTAAGTGCACTTAAGGTTTTCTGCTGTGTAACAAGGAAATAGTGTTGATGTGGCATAAAATTTCACAGAGAAATATTCTATAGACTTGGAGTGCGTGTCCATTGTCAAGATGTAGCTCAACAGATCTGAACTGTGATTTATGTTTGGGTGAATGTTGTTCGGCCACATTCATCAATATTGCAACAAATCATGGAAGTCTGCATGTAAACAAATCCAGTCCAAGCAAACCAGTTACCAATACTCACTGCCAGCAGAGAGGAAGACAAGGAATCAACAAAGTCAAAGAGCTCTACCAACAAATCCACAGAGGATGTATTCTGACCCGAACTCAGGTTATAGCTGGTCTGTTCAATGTATGAGTGAGCTGGGGTTATAACTACCCCCTCCATAGTATTTCAGTTACAATGCATTACAAAAGCAGAGAAATAAGATTATTAACTAACGCAAAAAAAACATGGGTGCAGTGTTGAGAAACCCAGCAACATAATCTGGATGAAGTGGGATTCGAAACTATAATCGCAGATTTTTGGCAGCCCAAGGGTGAGTGAGTGAGTTTAGTTTTACGCAGCACTCAGCAATATTCCAGATAAATGGCGGCGGTCTGTAAATAATCGAGTCTGGACCAGACAATCCAGTGATCAACAGCATGAGCATCGATCTGCGCAATTGGGAACCGATGACATGTGTCAACCAAGTCAGCGAGCCTGACCACCCGATCCCTTACGACAAGCATGAGTTACTGAAGGCTCATTCTAACCCAGACCTTCACGGGTCGGCTGCCCAAGGGACATAAGTGGGACCCCAAACTGCAGACCACTAGATGACTGGGCTCTGCCCATCCGCAGTATTTGTGGAGGAAGTATGGGTACTTACAGCTGGTTCTGGATGACTTCCATCCCGACAGTGTCTCGTTGAGGTGAAGGAACTCATCCTGCGCCAGCATCAACCTCTGCTCCTTCACTGCATATATCTCCTTCTTGGCCTGGAAATAACATATACAGGTAAATAATGGTTGGATTGAGAATAGTATTAGACCATATCTCCTTCTTGGCCTGGAAATAACACATACAGGTAAATAATGGCTGGATTGAGAATAGTATTAGACCATATCTCCTTCTTGGCCTGGAAATAACACATACAGGTAAATAATGGCTGGATTGAGAATAGTATTAGACCATATCTCCTTCTTGGCCTGGAAATAACACATACAGGTAAATAATGGCTGGATTGAGAATAGTATTAGACCATATCTCCTTCTTGGCCTGGAAATAACACATACAGGTAAATAATGGCTGGATTGAGAATAGTATTAGACCATATCTCCTTCTTGGCCTGGAATTAACACATACAGGTAAATAATGGTGGATTGTTGAATAGTATTAGACCATATCTCCTTCTTGGCCTGGAAATAACACATACAGGTAAATAATGGCTGGATTGAGAATAGTATTAGACCATATCTCCTTCTTGGCCTGGAAATAACATATACAGGTAAATAATGGTTGGATTGAGAATAGTATTAGACCATATCTCCTTCTTGGCCTGGAAATAACACATACAGAATGTAAATACAAGTAGGCCATATCTCCTTCTTGGCCTGAAACCACACATACAGGTAAATAATGGCTGGATTGAGAATAGTATTAGACCATATCTCCTTCTTGGCCTGGAAATAACACATACAGGTAAATAATGGCTGGATTGAGAATAGTATTAGAACATATCTCCTTCTTGGCCTTGAAATAACATATACAGGTAAATAATGGTTGGATTGAGAATAGTATTAGAACATATCTCCTTCTTGGGAAGCTCGATTGCAAATAGTGCAGGCATATCTCCTTCTTGGCCGGGATGTAATGCATGCAGGTGAATGACAATAGTATTGCAAATAGTATCAGAATATATTTCATCCTTGGCGTGAAAACATGCATACAGTTAAATAGTATCAGGATATATTATATCTGGGTTTTTTTTATTAAAAACAATGCATCCGTGTACAAAACAATTGTATTGCAAATGTATCAGCATAATAGGTGCTGAGGGTTGGGCACAGTTATAGCACAACTTACATTTCCAAGAGTGAGTGAGTGAGTGAGTGAGTGAGTGTGAACGAACACAATATAAAAGCAAGAGTGAGTGAGTGAGTGAGTGATTGTGAACGAACACAATATAAAAGCAAGAGTGAGTGAGTGAGTGAGTGAACGAACACAATATAAAAGCAAGAGTGAGTGAGTGAGTGAACGAACACAATCTCAAAGCAAGAGTGAGTGAGTGAGAGTAGGTGAACGAACACAATATAAAAGCAAGTGTGAGTGAGTGAGTGAGTGAGTATGGTTTTACGCCACTTTTAGCAATATTCCAGCAATATCGGGGCAGGGGACATAAAAGCAAGACACAAGTTTACGATGAAATTCCAACATGATATACAAACAATGCTTTATAATTCCCCAGGTTCCCCTGGTGAGCAGCCCAGTATGGCCGCCTGTCAGCCCTGCCATGTACTGGGAGACACATACATCACCAAATGTCAAGCCCACAAGACAGATGGGCGCTGATCAATGGCAGGCTCTCACTTGTCCTGTGTTCTAGACCCAACTGGAGGTTAGTCCATAATCACATCTCATCAAAACCAGTAATATCTCCATACACTTCCATCAGTGGATACGGCAAAGGTTACATCACGACAAACAAGCAAATTAATTTGATCATTTCCTCTTCAGTCACAGCGTGTTAAAGTGCCATGTCGCCAAATTTATCAATTTTGAGAATTCAGTATAGTAAAAAAAAAAACGTAAAAATTTGTGTTAAATGTCATCAATTTTGAGTGAGTGACTGAGTGAGTGACTGAGTGAGTGACTGAGTGATCGATCTGGCATAACATTGGCAATATTTCGGCCATTGTGAACACATCCATTAATTTTGTCTGTCATCTATATTTTTGTTGCTATGATGTAATCAGCTATATATTGTCCTGCAAATACCTGAAATCTATGCCAACAAGTGGTTGAAGTCATGAGCAAAATGACAAATAACCAGATAGGGCACAAGAAAAGGTATCTGGTGACATAATCCTGCCACCAACCCACTGCTGCTGACACTCTGAAGACCATGGATAACAGAAACCCACATTCAAACCCACCACCATCCCTCAGCATTTTAGCACACCAATGTGTTCTTGCACCTTCTACATTCCTAGGTCCTTAAATGTGGTGCTTCTGTTTTCATGGCTTCTAAAGTAACATTCAGGAAATTGTATGAAATGTATTTTTGACAAAGAACTTGTCATGCTATTTATATGAATGTCAACAAAATTATCAGGGTCGTGTTTGAAACCACAAGATCACAGATTCCACATGGATTTTGTCAATTTTGGATATCAACCCTTCATATTTCTGGAGCAAGGAGCTGCCCATTATGAAGGCAGTATTTGTATTCAGCTGTCTGTTGTATCTCCATAACATCCCTCAACCTTCATCACTGATGGTGTCAAGCCTGTATCAATAGGGAAGTGTTTGTGAACCACACAAAGTGCAAGGATACAAGGTGGAAGTGGAAGTGCAAACAATCCTCAGCCTAATTGCTCACCTCCAGATCTTCTTGCGCTGTGACAAGATAGTCCTTTAGCATCAGTTCCTGTTCTTTTCGCCATTGTTGCCTTGGGTCTTCTAACTGATTTGTTTCTGAATAACAAAGTAACAATAACATATCAAAAATATCTAATTCAATGACAATTCAAAGAAATAAGGTCAAAACACCCCACCACTCCATTTTGCTAGCTTGCAAAATGTTTCTTCGATTTACAATGTCCTCAAGCCAGGATTCTGGTAAACAATTCATGGAATTTTTCTCTGCGCAAATTATATGTTGTGATAGGCTGTACAATGCAAACCACTCAATTGTTAAAAGCAGTCAATTTTACACGAAAATACCATTTACTTTGCAATACATACACACACTACATGTTGTTTATTTACCGAGCTGGATGATAATTCTTTAAATGCTACAAAAATGTCGGCAATATGTTACACTATGGGACAGGAAGTTTTTTCAAGGGACACTGGTGACCTAAATATTTTTGCCAGGTAGCTGCTGACATGGTTGAGAGAGCTTGGCCAAACAGTCTGGCCTGCAGACAAAGACGCATAGCGCGACAATCAAGCAGTCCTAACGCGCTAGTTATTTCAGCGAGGTGGCGTAAGGTTGAAGCAGCCATTGTACCACAGAGTAGGCACACACATAAATACACTGTTAGCAAGTTCAGCTTTTGTTCAACACTTGTTAGGCTTTTACTTGAAAATATTTTCGTTTCCCACGGAGGGAACATAAAAGATGTCGAAGTGGCTTTGATCATGGTATATAGAGTTTTATTCAATACATGGGATATAAGTTCTAAGTGCGTAATACGAAATGGGGATCAACAGTCTTAGTGTGATAAGTAACTACACGACAGCCCTGTCATCTTAACACAATTGAATGCAGGGTGTTCTCATAAGTTTATAAGGTTTGAACAAAACCTCATAATGTTTTCAAGTGTTTACAATAAACTCTTGGAACTCATCAATTCATTACATACAAATAATACTGACCCTTTCAGCCTCAGCATTAAGTCATTAAGCTCTATTAAGCAGTTCAGCTGACACACTGAACAATGAATAAACCCTAAGCTAAGATTTTATGAAAATATACCCATTAACCAACAACAGAAAAATATGTTTTTATTCATCCGAATTTAGAAGAAACATTATTATCAAATGAAAAAAATACTTTTTCCTGCAGAAAAAAAATATCTGACACTACTGGAGCTCTCCCCCACTGGCCACTTAACGTAATAAAAGTCCCATGGATCAATGTTCACACTGCGTGATCTCTTTCAATAAAAAATAAATTCAATGCATGTCACAATATTTAATTTTGGAAGGGGAAACATAGCTTGCAGTTGCAGACAGCCTATCCCATCATCTTGGGCGTACCATACACAAATGTTCCTGGAAATTTATCAATGAACTTCAGATAAGATCTCCTAACATCATGCTCTGATCCTGAAATACTGCATAAACATTTTTCTGGAAACATAGTAGTTGGCTGTTCATGAGATAGGGAGATTCAGATCCACTGACAAGTTTATCAAGCCCTACAAACGTGGGTTTGACAAGGAAACACTATATTTCCTTTACACTTATTTCATTCAGGGCATTTCATATTTGACAAGAAATCATTGAAATTACACCCTAGGGATGGATCTCAAAGGAATCCTCTGGTCAGGAAGATGGATATATGTTTTGTTCATTTATCTGTGTTTATTAAATTGGGATGGGTACTGAAGCTCACCTTCAAAATATAAGAAAACAGACAAATCATTGTGTAACATCTTGAAAATGAAGGGAAAATGAGGCTTGAGATGATAGTTATGCCTGAGTGACATAATCAACGCTGGGCCAGGTAAACCATATCCTCAGGGTACGATGGTAGTCATCCTCAGGGTATGAACGCAGTCATGACATGCAATCAGCCACGTCCATTCAATGGATTTAAGTCAGCTCATACAGCAACATAAGAGGCACTGAGGAATGATCCTGGCAAATCAATTTCCCCCTGTGCTAAAGAACTAACTACACCTTCTAAAACTAACTCCAATCAAGGCTGGCCTTCCTTCAACCAAAAGGCTGTAAAGTCAAGGTTGGCCATCCTTCAGCCAAAAGGCTGTAAAGTCAAGGTTGGCCTTCCTTCAGCCAAAAGGCTGTAAAGTCAAGGTTGGCCTTCCTTCAGCCAAAAGGCTGTAAAGTCAAGGTTGGCCTTCCTTCAGCCAAAAGGCTGTAAAGTCAAGGTTGGCCTTCCTTCAGCCAAAAGGCTGTAAAGTCAAGGTTGGCCTTCCTTCAGCCAAAAGGCTGTAAAGTCAAGGTTGACCTTCCTTCAGCCAAAAGGCTGTAAAGTCAAGGTTGGCCTTCCTTCAGCCAAAAGGCTGTAAAGTCAAGGTTGGCTGTCCTTCAGGGTTGGCCTTCCTTCAGCCAAAAGGCTGTAATGTCAAGGTTGGCCATCCTTCAGCCAAAGGCTGAAAATGTTCAATTATCATCTGACACACAGAAGACCAACTGAAATATCTAAAAATATAAGACGAAGTGGTTCTGGCAAAACCCTTTCTAACATCTAATAACAATGGTTACTATATACAAATAAAATCTCAAGGAAGATGAGGTGAGGTGAGGTGAAATTGGGTTTAACTCGTGCTTGAGAATATTTCGCTCATATGACGGCGTGCATGCGTGTGTATGTGTATGTGCGGCTGCTTGTACTAGCCCAGACTGAAGCTGGTTTTATAGTGCTAGCCCAATGAGATACCATGCCACAGTGAAGCATGAATACCCCACTCAGACACATTATACTGACTCCGAGCCGACCAGTCCTTGTTGTACCCATTAATGCCGAGCGCCAGACAGGGACCAACAAGTACCATATTTTAACGTCTTTTGGTATGACGCGGTGGGGGATAGAACCCGCGACCTTCCGCTCTCCGGGCAGACGCTCTAACCACTACACCACGAAATCTCAAGGAAAGCAATGTTGACAATGAAAGACTATCCAATAAACTACTCTCAGCTTCATGAGATTTCAGAGGAATCAGGTGGTGACGTCCCGCCTGAGTGTGCTACTGTAGCTACAGACTGAAGCGAGGTCTCACAAAACCTAGTATAACACTTCCATGAAACATGCAGCTATTGAAACTTACGATTCATATGATTGATGTAGTATATTCCCACGTTGGGGTCATATGACTCCTCCCAGCCAATGGGCAGTTCATCTCCAACACAGTCTGCAAATGTCTGAGGCTTTGTGTATCTGAAATAGGACAAAGTAGGTTGAAAACAAATAATTATATTTAAAACAGTAGTCACTTCTCAAAGTGTCAGCTTAATGGTGAGAGATACGACAGTAAATCTCTGCAAAATCCTAACCCTCCCTTTAAATCCCCAAAACATCCCTTCCCTAATCTCACGTGAACCGTTGACAAATGAACTAACAAATCATATATTTTCTTCCTTTTAACTTTAAATTGTTGAAAACTTGTGTAGTTGTCAAAGTAATCCATCAAACAGGGTACCCGTGAAGATCCAGGTTAGAGCTGGTCTTCAGTAACCCATGCTTGTTCTGACCCATGCTACAGGTCGTCAGGCTCGCTGGCTTGGTGAACACATGTCATCGCATCCTAATTGCATAGATTGATGCTCATGATGTTGATTACTGGATTGTCTGGTTCAGATTATTTACAGATTGCCGCCATATAGCTGGAATATTGCCGAATATGGCGTTAAACAACCAACCAACAAATAGGCCATGACAGGGGATAAAATCCATAAATTCCACAAATATAAATTCCATACTAGACAGCAATACCATATCTTTACACAGACCTCCACAAATACCAACCAATACCAACCAAGTCTGATCTGGCAGCAAAGGACTTCAGGTTTATATCTCTGTCATAACATTTGCTTCCATTTTTACACATTTGTGTTTACACATGAGATTTTTCCTCAACCCACACCCATTCACGTAAAAATAGGCTGTCAAGTTCAACCAGAGTACTTGTGCTATTGTCACCTGAAAAGTGATACTTAAAATTACAACCAAAAAATACCGGGCAATATTGGGGTTATTCCCACATGTAAGTGACAATGTAACAATGCGTCTGGCAGTGGGATACAAGTGCAAATCATTTACTGTAAACGCAAGCCAGGTGTGCTGCAGATTACCCTGCAAGCATGGTGAAGTTCAAACTCTCACATTTTAAAAAATGACAATTATGTATTTCAGTGTAACCTTCAGTTTACACTAAAGTGCTAGGCGTAGTTCTGAACAGAAAGTGTCTCCATTAATAAGGATGCACATTTGCTACCCATCAGACTAACTTACTGGAACTTGATATGCTTAGCAGAAATATTACACCAAGGTTAGGAAAGGCCACAAACAAAAACTATTTGTTCTCTTTACATGCTGCGAAAAAGGTGAGAACGTAGGTAGATGGTTAAACTGGGTGGGAGGATAGATAGGGAAAACAGGGTTGATCGATGGACAAAACAGGACGGGTTGAAGGGAAAATAGGTAAAAAAGGAATTAATTCAGCATTTTATAAATCTATTCACAATCTTTGCTCAAATTACCATATCTTGATACAAATATGGAAAACAAAGTACCTCATTATATACACTAGGATTCTCAGAGCGATACTAGATCAAGTCAGTTCCCAGCTTAAGGTCAAGCAATTGTCAACATTCAGAAGACATACAGACATACTCAAGTCCACTGAAGACTCAGTTTAGCAGTTGAACACAAGATAACACCAGAATCAACCTAGTTCACACCCAACAAATGATTACCATTTAATTTGAAACCTTATATTCTTAAACAGCACTCTTGGAAGATAAAACAAACATACTGTAAATAGACTCGACAAAAAGAGAATAATGATGAAAACACAGCTCACATGCAACAACCCTGGAGCACTCCTCTCTGATCTGCCATACAAATACTACAACATTGCCTCCACAATCAATGTCTGGACCAGACAGTCCTGTGACTGACAAACCATGAGCCTTTATCCTCGAAATTTGGATCCAATAAAAGGCAATCATCCAAATCCCAGAACAAGACCACCAAATCACCACCAGGGGAACTATGACTTAGGGATCGCTTTTTCTTTTCCATTTTTTCTGTATGTGTCTGTGGTAACCACAGGAATAAGGCAACCATAATCCAGAGGGAATGTTTACGCTTATAATTAAAAGCAATCATCCAAATCCCAAACCATGACCACCAAATCCACATAGCAACCTCTTATAACAAGCTTAGGTTGCAGGAGACCAATATTCTTTTGCAGGCACACAATGAACAGGATGACGGCTGATATGCAATGAGAAGGCTAAACTACAGCAAAATACACCTTTTTTAGGATAAAATGATTGTTTAACTTCAACTCATGATGTCGACATTTATTTCTTATGTACTATGTACAGCTTCTACATGAATAACAACCAAACGATGTAATCATTATTTGTCTTTATAAAGAGAGGTGTTCACATAAGCTTATAGCTTGTTCACCGAACCCTATTCAATTTTGTTTGAATAAAAATATGCTTAAACCAAACAAAGCAGCAGTCTCGTACTACAGGAAAGACCTCAGCCATTCTGATCATAGATGTTCAGTACCTGGGTGAAACCCAAATGTCCATGAAGTATGAACATGTTCCTGAACCTCTCATCATGGTCGGTCGGTGCGGTAGCCTAGTGGTTAAAGCGTTGGCTCGTCACGCCGAAGACCCGGGTTCGAATCCCCACATGGGCACAATGTGTAAAGCCTATTTCTGGTGTTCTCCGCCGTGATGTTGCTGGAACATTGCTAAAAGCGGCGTAAAACCAAACTCACTCACTCACTCTGATCATGGCACACCAAAGGGATGCAATCTGTACAACAAAATTCAGATATTAATGACAAGGTCCCTATTATACCATACCCACCTATTAGCCACACACCTCCCTAATCATACTGTCCAATCTGTTTCACTTGTGTATCATAGCATTTGTTTCAATTCAACAGTCCAGTTCACATACTGTTAGATGAAATACTTACTGATAGATGACATTGTTTCTTTATATCTCACTTTATTTATAGATGGTAAGTTGGTTTAACACTGCTTTAAACAGTAATGCAGTAATACCAGCATGTCATCCTAATATGTTATGGAAACCTGCAGTGATGCACTGCTTCGATATTGACCACTTTGTTGAAACCTATGAGAACAGGTATGGTGCTAATAACCCTAAAAACATAATCAGAGAAAACTGGGAGGAAGCCTTGATAATATGGTTCTGGACTGCCCGGGTGATGGAACTACCTTGAACGACTTGGACAGTATTTAAAAGAAAACCTTGCACTTCCTTCCTAAGCAGCGCCTGACCCACCTCTCCATGAACTCCCCCTTCCAACTACGGCATGTTCCCCACAGCTGTAACTACTTGTTGATACAAGTAATGGGTGATAAAGTAAAACTGAAGCACAAGTCTCAGCCAGCTTCCAGCTGTCTCCCCTCCTTCCCCTCATCCCCCTCCACCCACTGTCACAATCAGCAGGATGTCATCTCATAACAGGCAGGCTCAAACACCTGCGATATAACTGTATACACCAGCGGTATAACTGTATACACCAGCGGTATAACTGTATACACCAGCAGTATAACTATATACTAGCGGTATAACTGTATACACCAGCGGTATAACTGTATACACCAGTGGTATAACTGTATACACCAGCAGTGTAACTGTATACACCAGCGGTATAACTGTATACACCAGCGGTATAACTGTATACACCAGCGGTATAACTGTATACACCAGCGGTATAACTGTATACACCAGCGGTATAACTGTATACACCAGCGGTATAACTGTATACACCAGCAGTATAACTGTATACACCAGCGGTATAACTATATACTAGCGGTATAACTGTATACACCAGCGGTATAACTATACACCAGCGGTATAACTGTATACACCAGCGGTATAACTATATACTAGCGGTATAACTGTATACACCAGCGGTATAACTGTATACACCAGTGGTATAACTGTATACACCAGCAGTGTAACTGTATACACCAGCAGTATGACTGTATACACCAGTGGTATAACTATATACTTAGCGGTATAACTGTATACACCAGCCGTATAACTATATACCAGCGGTATAACTGTATACACCAGCGGTATAACTATATACTAGCGGTATAACTGTATACACCAGCGGTATAACTATATACCAGCGGTATAACTGTATACACCAGCGGTATAACTATATACCAGCGGTATAACTGTATACACCAGCAGTGTAACTGTATACACCAGCAGTATATGTATACACTGTATAACTATATACAGTGGTATAACTGTATACACCAGCGGTGTAACTGTATACACCAGCGGTATAACTGTATACACCAGCGGTATAACTGTATACATCAGCGGTATAACTGTATACACCAGCGGTATAACTATACACCAGCGGTATAACTGTATACACCAGCAGTATAACTGTATACACCAACACTATAACTGTATACACCAACACTATAACTGTATACACCAGTAAAACTCTGTATAACTAGTGGTATAACTGTCATCTGAACACTAACAATAAACTAACAGTATAACTACAGCCGTAGAATCTTAAATAATTGCACATATGTAAACTGGTGGTAAAAAGGCAAACTAGGAGTATCACTAAACTATAAACTAGCCGTATTCATACCCTAACTACTGCAGCAGAACTATGTAAACTAGTAGTTCAAACGCATAGACTAATAGTAGAACAGTTAAGGAGGACATAAAGCAGCTTCAACAAAACGGTTGACACTGCATATACCCTAAAGAATGTAGCTGACCTCATTCTGACTTCAAACAGCTTTTGTTATGGATGGATATTCAGTGTATCTTTCCCATGCCAGCTTGTTATGAAAACATGAGGGTGGCATTGATTAGTATAATTTGTTGTATACAATGAAGCTCAACACATTATCCTTGAGGCCCACGCATGTAGTGAGGGGTGCCGCGTCCAGACTATACCTGCCTTCATCATACAGTATCTATATCCCCCAGATAGAAGCCTACAATCTTGACAGCTTGAAGCAGAGAAACATATTAGGTCCTTTTTGACTCAGTTGTCCTCTAAATATCATATCCAGTTAGACAAAGTTGTTCTTTTAGAAACAGTTGTCCTCTGAATATCATGTCCAATCAGACAAAGTTGTTCTTTCGGAAACAGTTGTCCTCTGAATATCATGTCC